AATACAGATTGGATCATCTGGACCTTTGACAATGTAACAAGACTATTTTTGTTGGAATATAATCGATCGGTGGATTAAGTTTCTATGAGGCTTCATAGGTGAGTCGCGGCAATTTTGATTGTACTGGTTGGCCTGACAGAATCGCTGATTGTACCCGCTGTGGTGATTATATACTGAAATGGTTTGCACTGGTCGAATCACAAGGATTTTAGCTTTCAAATGGTGTATCATATGACGTTAGAAGTTGTGGGCACATAACGAGAGCTGTCATGAGGACCTCTTACCACCAGCAATGTTAAGAGGTTTTCACGTAAAGTTACGTTACAACAGCACCAAACTGCAGCCAAACAACTGGGTGTAGCTTAAACTGAACGCTTGCTTTCTATGCGTTCTACTGGCCTATAATTTAGCTAAAAATGGTGGTAGTGTCACTGATTTTTGCGCTGCAGACCTTGCACACCGCTGTTCTTTTCTTCCTACCGTCATCGACAACAATTGTTGAAGGTCTGTGTTGTACTACACGTAACTGTCTTTTTCTAGTATTTATTTAAAAAATCAGGTCATTTTCAAGTCATCTGTCTCAAGTCTAAGTCAAGTCTCAAGTCATAAACACGAAATCAAAGTCCAGTCGAGTCTTTTGTCTGTTTTAGTCAAGCAAGTCTCAAGTCTTCAAATTTGCGACTCAAGTCTGACCTCTCCTATATAATAATGTCTTTATCAGTGGTTAAATGTTTAACAGCTCATATTGTACAATATGCTATCGCCCCCAAATTAAAACAACCAGGTTTTATAGTATAAGATGGACAGAGATTATGCCTCTCTCTCTAGACTTGGCTCTGTCTGGTAAAATATTTTGTTATGACTGCTCTGCTTCCTGGAACTCTTTTTTTTTTTTCTGTTAAGAAACTGAAATTGTGACTTTCTCAGTTTAGCAGATCAACCCCACACTTCCTACAAGATTGCACTTGCTTAGAAAAACTCACTGTAAGCAAGACATTGCACTTTCCACAGGAAGGACTTTTGGGACCTTCTGACATTTTCAATAATCCTCCGTGTATTCAGGAGGTGAGTCATGCTGCAGGACACAGAATGAGCAACCATCTCATCAAAGCCTCATTAGGGCCTATAAGTAAAGGTCACACACACTGGGGGTAGCTTGTTGTGTAGCATCCAGCATGCAGGTACACACACAAACACACAGCATCAAAGGGATTTATTAGATATGTCTTCTGAGAGAGTTTCTCATCATTGTTATTAAAATAATCTGCTATTAGAAGGAGCTAGAGCTGTAATATTAAAGATTATTTACTTGAAATGACACTTTAGTAAATGAAAACAAGTTGCAGTATACTCAATGGAGAAAAGGTGATTAAGTTCACTGACATTAACAAGGTTCTTTTTAAAAACAAAAAATATTCTCTGTGGACAGATTAACTGGCAATGCTTAAGGAGAATAGCTTTGTTCCAACCGTGTCTGACTTGGTTGCTCTTTTATAACCTTTTACAATGAAAACTGATTCAAAGTTTGTTTGTGATGATTACACAACTTTACCGTGAAGTTGTTGCATCACTTAAAGCCACAAGGAAAGATTTCTGTTTGAAACATTTATAGCAACATAAATTTAATCAAACTTACAATTGAATTAGTTTATCTGTTCTCTAAACCCATCTATTATTTAAAGCTAATACAATTAGCTGGTTAATCAGTAGTCATTTGGTAGAAAGTAATTTACATTGTTTAAGTAACATGAGGAAAAACTCACTTGTTCCACTTTGTTCAATATTGTCAGGTTTTCTCAGTCTTCTATGATTGTAAACAGAATATATTTAAGTTTTAGGTTCTAAATATCAACTTAGGCTCTGGGAAATTGCGCCTTTTTTTATTTTTTTAAATGATTTAATGGATATACACTATATTGACAAAACTTTTAGGACACCAGATTATTGAATTCAGGTGTTCCAATCACTTCCATGGCCACATGTGTATAAGATCAAGAACCTAGACAAGCAGATTGCTTCTACAAACATTTGTGAAAGAATGGGTCGCTCTCAGGAGTTCAGTGAATAACTGGTACTGTGATAGGTTGCCACCTGTGCAAATCCATTCGTGAAATTTCCTTACTACTAAATATTGTGTGCAGAAGTCTCCAACTTTCTGCAGAGTCAATAGCTACAGACCTCCAAACGTTGCGTGGCCTTCGGATTAGCTCAAGAACAGTGCGTAGAGCGCTTCATGGAATGGGTTTCCATGGCCGAGCAGCTGCATCCAAGCCTTACATCACCAAGTGCAATGCAAAGCGTCGGATGCAGGGGTGTAAAGCATGTCGCCACTGGACACTAGTGCGGTGGAGTCGTGTTCTCTGGAGTGACGAATCACGCTTCTCTGTCTGGCAATTTGATGGACATGTCTGGGTTTGGCTGTTGCCAGGGGAACAGTACTTGCCTGACTGCATTGTGACAAGTGTAAAGTTTGGTGGAGGGGGCATCATGGTGTGGGGTTGTTTTTCAGGGGTTGGGCTTGGCCCCTTGGTTCCAGTGACAGGAACTGTTGATGCTTTAGCATACCAAGACATTTTGGACAATTTCATGTCCCCAACTAATTGGAAACAGTTTGGGGACGCCTCTTCCTGTTCCAACACGACTGCGCACCAGTGCACAAAGCGAGCTCCATAAAGACCTGGATGAGCGAGTTTGGTGTGTCCTGACCCCAACCCAATAGAACACCTTCATATTAAACCCTACAGATTAAGAATGGGATGTCAGTAACCTTCATGCGCATGTAAAGGCAGGCGTCCCAAAACTTTTTGCAATATAGTGCATATAACTGAAAACTGAATTTTTACGACATAGATAAAGAAACTGTATTTTACCCAATACCCAATGTGCTTAAAAAAGTCAGTATCGGCTGATAATGATCTGATGTATCTGATCAGTGAATAACAAAAATGCAGCTTAATCATAATGAAGATACTGATAAATTGCAGCCCATTTACCAGTTTGAGTAAACATTGTTAAACTTGTCATGTTTGTTCAAAAGAAAGAAAGAAACCACTGGAACAAACATGTTTTGCATCAGTCTACTGAGAAAATGTGCAGAAGGTCACTGTCAGTAATGACGCTCTTTGTTTGAAGGCAGTAACTGATCCCCATGGAGCTGCTCTTTAATCACAGAGAATGGAAATCCACAAGGAATTAGCTTTGTTCCTCCTTGTATGTCTGCTTAACCTTTCAAAAACAAAACTTACTGTTGATTCACTGAGAGCAAACTTTTGTCATCAGGGTGTTATAAGCCTAACAAAGAAAAGTTTAGTGAAAATGTTTTGAATTCCTCACAGCTGCTCAGCCAGTAACTCCTGTTTTTAAATCCCTTTACACCGAGTTAAATGAAAGCCTGAACACCCCTCTCATAGGCAGACCTAGTTGATGAAATAATATGTGTGCTCTTTAGTGTTATTATTAGACATTCTGTGGACTTTTGTAAGAAATAAATTATAGCGTATTGTTGGTAATACTTAATTATGCAAATATCTCATGGTGTAGCTTACTGTTGTAAACACTCTTCCAGTTTGAAGGTACTCTTTGGTAGTAAAAAGGTTTAGAGTTTGTTTTTCAGAAAGCAGTTGTATGGAACACTTCAGACCCAATATTTTCTGACTGCGCTTTGTGGGTATTGATGGATTACTATTATGCACAGGACCAGAGCTTGAAATTTACAGTCTTTTTTTGGAAAGTCACACAGTTCAGTAGCAGGGATGTGCTGATCATGTTTTTATTTATTTTGCTCCTGAACATTGCCTTTTAACATTCAGTATGTGCCAAATCCAATTTTTTCTTCTTTTTTTTTAACAACATATAACTTTTTTTAGGGGTTCATAATTTACAAAGCCATTTCCTGAAATTGACTAAGTAATGTGGTCACAATGGGCTATAATAACTATGGAATATAGAGAAAATTAGAGTCGGTGGACAACAATGTAAAATTTGTCTACCAGAAAACCTTCAGCTCAATATATATATATATATATATATATATATATATATATATATATATATATATATATATATATATATATATAAGTTTCCAACTATGTATGAACATTGAATTAATATTTACTTGAGATTAAATGTTGCTTTTCATTTAAGAACATCCCTAGGAAACTTATTTGAAATTATTATTACTCCATTCATGTTTTATCATATTTCTGACTCTCCTGTGTTTGTGAATTAAGCTTGTCTCAGTGAATCATGATGGTAGACAAGTTTTCCACACTATAGCAACAGATCAATCATCAATAGAAATATTACACTGTTGTGGTGTCTCAAAATTAAGAATGCACAAAAATTAAGTTTTTCTTCCCCTGGATTCACTATCCGATACCAGCGCTCTCTTTTTCCCACATTTATAATCTAACTGTGTGGAACTTTTTGAAATCCTTTCGATGTAAGTAAAGCCAGCTGTGCGCCATGACTTAATAAAAACATAGAATTTTGTAATGACATTAATGAGAAAAAAGTTTCAATTGTGGATTTGTCGTGTCTGGTCTATACCTGAGCTGCTTATTAAGATCAACTTTGACCCAATATCGATCCAGCAGATTGGATTGCTGCTAAATAAATAGTTAAAAAGTGGCTCCCGATGGTCTTGGGGTTAAGCACATTGGGTATCGGATGTGGGAAGATCCACATAAAATACAGTTCCTTCATCAATGTCTGTCAAAAATTCAGTTTTCAGTTATGTATATCCATTAAGGCGCTCAGCATGAACCACAAAGTCCAGCCAGGAACATTTGTTCGATTGTCATTTCCCACCTCTCTCTCTCCCCTCATTTCCAATCATCTCTCTCTCTCTACTGTTGAAGCTTCTAATAAAGGCATAAAATTAGGCCCCAACTATTACTATGGTAACTATTTATTTGAATATTCCAACTGAAAACAAATCGAAAAAAGGAAACCGGAAATGTAAAACACTCTTTTCCCAAAAACAACCCGTCACTCACAAGTGAAAAGTTCACTGTTTTATTGCCTTCTGTGATGTACTACAGGGATTCATCAGACAAATACAAAAAGCTATTAGAAAATATACAAAAACATACAGGCATTCAAATATGAAGGGGTTTACATTTGTGGTGGTCTTTTTTTATTTTTTATACGAAACTATCAGAGTAAGACGATCTACCATAATTAAGGTGATCATTGTTTGACATACAGTGCCCTGTGAGGCCTCTTGTTCTGTATTAGTCTAATGTAAGTAGATTTTAACAAACTGGTCAGGGAAAGCTGATGATTTAACTGACCACTTTCAGATAGACGGAAGGATTTCCTGCCAAAAATATCATGTGAACTACTTGTTTTTTTTTTTACTGTATGTACAGTCAGCCATGTTAAGGGCACTGTAAGAAAAAATCCACAAAGTGCAGAGTGAAGAACAAATTAGATTTACGAACGTGAGGCCAATTCATCACATTTTCTCTTTCAACAACAGACCACAGCTTTAGTGAACAGTGGAACTTCTTATCTTCCCTTTTTTTTTCAACAATATACTCAACACTGTAATCAAAACTAGTTTCTACAAGCAAGCAAGTAATTATTTTGTATGAAAATGACCCAAGCCAATTTTATATTGGGAGTGGTAATAACACTTTATTTATTTGCTATTCTACTGTGGTACTTAAAAAAAACAAACCCCTCTGCTATAAATACATCATATTTAACAAACCGTACAAAACTGATCAAGTATAAACAGGGCGCTAAGACGAATGGTGTGTGACTATGAATGAACACTGTGTGATGAAAACTGCTACTCATGTTCTCACTGAATAATATTGTGTGTTAATATCTACAGTACACTGATTACGTCTAGTTTACAAAGTTTGTTGGCACATGTACACTGTAGTTACACACCCAGGCGTAAAATGTAGAATCCTTCTGTTTTATAAAAGGCTGCTTTATTGAAGGCTGCAAAGGCTTTGTGAAAAGACACTTTGGTTTTGTCCTTTGATTGGAAGGGTTTCCTCCTCACTCTGTTATTCTTTCTCTGCGGCGTCCTGCTCGCTCACTGTGACGACCAGATCACTTCCGGGAGAGGAGCTGGTTCTCCAACTGCTCCAGGCGAGCAGTCATACCAGACAGTAGACAGTTGATTAAGGAATAATGATGATATGCATGTATTAATAAATACAGGTCAGAAATACATCCATCAGAATTTTGTGTCAAATATTTGTTGTTGTTGTTTTTGAATCGATGTTTTAAAGTAATATCTGATAGATTAACAAAGTTTTTATTAAAGGATGAGGTTTCCACATTTTTCTGCTTGTGAGCAAATTACATAAATATACCAAAATTAATAACTGTTTACCCTGCGGCTCTCAGCTGCAAGCTCATTGGTACCTAACGAAGACATAAATCTTTATAAATAAAAATAAAAATATATAGTTTTTTTTTTTAAAAAGCTCACTTATTTATTGGTCGCTGTAGTTTTTAACAAACATTACTCAAACAGGAAGATATAGTGTTTGTTGGGGACTATTTTCAGTGGCGGATGAATCTACATTTAGTGCTCTAGTGAGCATCTGGAGCAGCAGGAAACATGTGGGATTGAGTCAGATTAAACGGTGTGCGTGTTCATGGTGATGATCGATCATATCACTAAGTACAACAATGGAGCTCTGTGGCTCACAGGGAGAGGAAATATCAGATTTTTAGAGACATTCACTGCTGGTTTCAAGGGTTTTGTTGACAATTAGACAAATCTTGAATATTGGTGGCTTTATCCTTTAAGTTTTCCCTTATTTGTTTGTTATGTGGAGGCTCTTGGAACAGATGTAGGGAGAATTTGGGACTAATCTAAGCTATGGGTTTTCAACGTACCTTGCTTGACAGACTGACTCCAGTCAAAAGTTCGATCTAACCCTATAGTTACACATCTGTAACATACATTCTCTTTGCCTTAAAGCTGAATTAATCATGTATATTTTTTTTAAATATTACCACTTCATTAAGGATATGTTTCAGTGCGAGCTGCTCCAGGCTGTTCATGGTGGCCTGCTGGAACTCCACCAGACTCTCGCAGGCACATGGGTCCTTCACCTCGATCTCCCCCTGACTCTCCTCTGCAAAAGGACGCAGAGAGAGGAGAACATCAGTAAACAAACACCTTCACTTTATCTGTTTATATTGTGTGACATTTTCCCACAACAGGCTTTAAACATACAGTTATTACTTAAAGGAGAAATATATTTAAGGCTTATAAAACAGCCCATCAACAGTATTTGAAATATTTAGCTTTAGTTTCCTTGGACCACCTAAAAACTTTAAAATTCATGCTTTTAAAACAACAAACTAAACCTCTAGCTGTTTCACTTCTTTGTTAATGGTTTGTTATATTTTTGCTATTATATTTTATTAATGCTTTAGATTTAACATTCTTTAACTGTCATGTCTAAACATGGAGAAGCCGCGTTTTTATGCACCATATATCTAGAAACTACTCCAACCAAACTGCCTATAATTGAACCAAATTGGAGGCTTTTGATTTAAATCTTACACTGCACTGTAACTTTTAATGTCCAGTTTTGTCCTGTTTTTTTTTTTATTATTTAAATACTTTTTATATTGCCCTATGTAGCTTTTATGTTTTATGTAAAGCACTATGAATTAGTTTGTGGTTGAAATGTGCTACACAAATAAACTTGCCTTGCATTTTGTCAGCAGATGGAGCCAAAGACATCATTACAGTGTCTTGACAGCACACACATGCTGAACACACTCTAGTTTTACTGACTCATCTTTGAAATGTTACTTTGTGTTAAGTCTGTTAAAAACACCCTCCTGTAGGTCATAGCCATGGACCTGCACAGTGTGGTGCAGTAAGATCAATATTCAATTAATCAGAATTTAATAAATCATGATGTATTTTTAATCCAATCGTAATTTTATTGCAAAATCTTTATCTGCACGCTAACTAGTATCTAAGTTGTAGACTTTAAAGTTGCACAAATATGAAATTCCCCATGTTTCTTTAATAATGCAGTATTTGAGAAATAAAATTGTTAATTGAAAAAAATGCCGTTTCCATTACACAGACAAGAAAACTAGGGTCTGCTGGTCAAACATTAAGCTGAGGATGAACTGTGTGGCGTACAGCAACTGTGACCTGCAGACAAAGTCCTGTACTTTATTTAATGTCGGGTCCAGAGTGTTTGTACCTGGGCAGACATTGAGTTTGAGGTTCTCTGCGATGGTGCTGATGGCAGTGAAGTCGGTGGTGTAATAGAAATGCTTCTCCACAGGCTCAGATGAAATCTCACGGAGCTCATCTTCCACAGCTTTTCCAACACCCACAGCGTACATGGTGATGCCTGCATGCATGCACAGAAACATACATCACAAATGCATTAAATGTCAGCTTTAGTCTACATGGACTGTAATCAGAAGCCATCATTTAGATCAAGATAACAAACTGTAGATGTGGTTTGACCCTCACGCTTGTGGATCCCACCAGAATGAGTCTTACCGGCTTCTTTGGCCTTCTTGGCGTACTCTGTGATGTCGTCCTGAGAGCGTCCGTCTGTGAAGACCAGTCCGATTCGGGGGATGTTGCGGCTGGAAGGACGAGCGCCCTCTGCCTCTGAGAAGCTGTTCTCCACCATGTGTTTTAGGGCCAGACCTGTCATCGTACCTTTCTCCATGTAGTCAACCTAAACGAGGACAGTAAAAACAGTTCAAGAGCCGAGTGCTGCAACTGAAACAGTTGATCCATAATGTGCTGCAGGCATTTCTTTCACTATGGACACTCAGTACAACTGAAGATCACTTGTTTGTGGAGCTACTTCACCTTCATGACAGCAGCTTTGATCTCGTCAGCAGTGTGGTACATGTTGAGTGGGAACTCTGTCCTGACCCGGCTGGAGTACTGAATCAGACCAACTCTGGTGCCGTGAGCCGACACGTCCAGGGAGTCCACAACCTGGAGCACAGCAGGAGGTGAGGGGTTTTCTTCAGACACAATTGCAGGTGACACAAGGCACAGGTAGCCTACTTTCTTAGCTTGCTTCCATTTTTTTGTTTTTGTGTTTATTGCTCAGTGTAGGGATTGATAATTCTGCATACTTTTAGAGTTGTATAAATTATAGTTTAATTTTTTTCAGTGTAATACACAATGACATAAAATTACTGTAGTTATGGAAACATGCCCCACCTGGTTAACAAACTTTTTGACCAGCTCGAAATTTTGAGGGCGGACGCTCTTGGAGCCGTCGATCAGAAGCACCAGGTCGATGTTTGCAGACTTGCAGGCTGAAAGAGAGAGAGAGACAAGAAAGACAGACGGGAGGCGGAGAATGAAAACACATTCCAAATATTTTCTCTTTAGAATTTAGAGATGCTATTTCTGTCGTGCAGCTCAATAAGATAATGACATATATTTGGTCGAGTCATTTAGAACCTGTAAAATGAATGTACATATCTTGATGTCAGTACATGGAAATGTACGGGATTCTGATCAGAAATGTTTTTTTTAAGTTTCCGTAAGCTGTTTTTAAATAAAGTAGTTTAGTTAGTCAACATATTGAATATTAAACTGTCAAATGCTGATTTCAGGATTGCCCTCTGAAATCCAGTTACAAGTCGGGCTTCAATTTGTACTTTTGAGCAAATCAGCCCATTTGAGAAAATTAAAATCTTTCCAACTAAAAGCTTTTTAGCTCTTGTATTTATGGAGACAGTTCTATAACTTGTGCTAAATCTGAAAAATGGCAGATATGTCCTCAGTATAAAGAATCAGCAGGCGGATATATCAGTTTTACCTAAGTATTCAGACATAGTGACAAAACTAGATGTTTTGTTCCCTGTTTTTTTGGTTACCAAGGACACTGGAGCAGGAGTCTGTAAGTATAAATCTTGACGACACGATAAATGAGGTTGTACTGCTGCAAATCTCCATATGGAGGTGCTGTATGACAGTTACTGGCAGGCACTTTGGGTTTTTCTCAGCATCCCTAGAGGAAAGCAAAATCCAACAGAAGGTTCTTCCAGACATAACTGAGCTGCTTTTAACATCAGCATGAGATATGGTTTATTTTCACACACATCTTTATTTCGTCTCATTAGAAATTACCCCTTTCCTTTCTTATTCTAATCCTGATCTCAGCTCTTGGTTTTTTCTGTTCAGTGGAGGTCATCTGATCATGACATGACCTGACTCCTGACTCATTACAGATCGGATTACGGTGCTGACCTCCTGCTCCGGCCGTTGCACCTGCAACATTTCTGTTGGGTCCTGCAGGAGCCCCAGGATGTCAGTCCCATGGTGAGTTTCTCCTGACAAAGATGTTTGTTATGACCCCGACTAATGACAAAGTGTATAATAAGGTCTGCGTTAAAGAACCGTGAACCTGTCCTGTCATGCCCACAGTGGTGAACTGTGTTGAGTTTCTACCTCAGCGACTGTTCGGATGATTTTTGTGATACAGATAATTCATCAGAGAGTCGACTTACTGCCGCAACTCTTGCCGTCCTCCTGCAGCAGTTGTCCCTCTGGACAGATACAGTAATAAGATCCTGGAGTGCTCACACACCGGTGCTCACAGCCATGCTCCACTGTGTTACACAGGTCCATGTCTGCAAATACACAGTCAATAAACACAGATTACATATAAATTACACCTGTAGAAATGGAAAGCGGTGGTGGAAACTAAATATACACACTTACACAAGTACTGTACTGCTTTTGAAGGATTGGTACTTTACTATTTATCTTTTAACATGCAGAAGCTCACAAAATGTTACTTCTGTTGTATAAAAAATATTGTCTGATATGTTTCTAAAAAACAGCCTAGTTTCAGGCTCAGTGGCACAACTAGTTTATTTAATTTTTTTTTTTAATGCCACAGCCTCATTGATGTTACAGATACACATGCAATTATGAATGCACAGCCACACATGTTGGTCAAACACCTCGCCCTTCCTAGATCTAAAAACAATATTGATTAAAATACCTGAATTACATTTTAAATCGGGGATAAAACAGTGAGAACCCACATAAGATAAGGATATGATGATGTAGAAAGATTTTGTGTCACTGACTTGTGCAGGTCTTCTTGTCTTTGTTGAGTTTGAATCCTTTGTTGCAATCACAGGTGAAGACGCCAGGAGCGCTGATACAGATTTGTTCACAGTCATGCTTTCCCTCGGCACACAGGTCAATGGCTAAATAACAGAAAACACAAACGCACAAAGTTATTTCCCATAGTAATTAAGGGAACAGTGGAAAATTGTGTTTGAGTTGTTTTTTCTTTCTTTCTGTGTGTATGTTGCTCTACGTGTCTTCGGAAGAACAAGTGAAGCCAGAGGATCATGTAAATAAGAAATATACAACTGACCACCTATTTGAGAGACATAAATAAATTAAATAATCTGTTCATTGTTTTTTAGATTAAGTGAAGTCCCTGAGTCCAAAGTGAAGTCTTCAAACTTCTTAATTACTCCGATCAACAGTCCAAAGACCCGAACGGATTTTATTTACAATGACATGAAACAGAAGCAGAAATCTTCACATTTAAAAAGCTTGAAGCAGCAACTATTTTGTGTTTTTACTTGAGATTGACATTAACGATCATCAAATCATTAAATCGATTAATTCAAGCACTTAAAATAAATACCGCTTCTTAACCCACGTCATGTGAATGTAGAGGACAGGCTGCAGCAGGATGGATGTACCAGGAGCGATTTCCTTTCGCTGTGTGTGTGTGTGTGTGTGTGTGTGTGTGTGTGTGTGTGTACAGCTGTATATGTGTGTATTTGTGCGAGGGCCTGACTAACGTGTGCAGGTCTTCTTGTCCTCATTGAGAGTGTATCCTTTGTTGCAGTCGCAGGTGAAGACGCCCGGCGCGCTGACGCAGATTTGTTCACAGTCATGTTTCCCCTCAGCGCACAGGTCAATGGCTAAATAACACACACACATTGGGTTAAATTGTGTGTTTTTCCACTTTTTTTATGCAAACTTTTTTGTGCATTTAAATAAACATCCATTAATATCTGAATTAAAAGGCTTTTTTTAGTTGTTAGATCTGTGTTAGATGTTGAGAAGAGTTCTCCGGTAAACAGTCAAAGCCAGATATACCCATAAATGGTCAATATCTATTGATAAAACACTTTGTTAGGTCATGGGGATTATTACATTCATTTGGATTCTTTTACAATAGTAAGCATAAATTTCAGAGGAACAACGTTATTATTAATAATATAAATAATAATTTAGTGACTTATACATACATCATTGTGTTTTTAACCTTTAAATAATGTTGTGTTTTCAAATAAGTAAGTTTTAAACCAGCTGTTGAAACATCCAAGAACAGCTGAACCAGCAGGCATGTAACAATGTGTTATTTCACTTCAATCCTGTGGCATTTGGGTTAAACAGACAACACAGTTACAAGATTTGGTCCTTTGCTTTGAACATTTGTATGGCTATAAGGGAATAGCAAGTCGTTGGTTATCTAAAGGCTGTCTTCATTTTGCAGTTTTCTGTTAACAAATTCTCTTGTGGTGTAACTGCCTCTGAATTTATTTACTTGGCTGCATGCATTAATGTTGGAGACTTGCTTTCCCATTCACACCACATGCTTGTTTGTGAGTTAGTTAGGTGTGTGAGAGAGACTGTAGTTATGTTCTTTTGTTGCTGCATTTTAAATGATGTCCCAGCTAATATGGATTTGAAATTGTTTTGGGCTTCCAGTAGTAGGAGTAAACTCTAGTTAATAGTTTTCTCCTGGATTTTGCTCCAAGGACTGTTGAAAGTTTAGTTCTTAACAGTTAATGACACTAGCAATCACTATTACACCCACTCTGTAAAAAGTCATTAATATCAATATTTCAAAACATAAGCTACAACTGTAGTTTGTTTCAACTGTTTAATCACCAAAATAAGTGAATGCTCGTGGCAGGCAACAGTAAAAATACTGATGCTTTATGATATCTCTCAAACTAAGATCTGACAGTTACACCAAAAACACAATTTCACCAAGTCAGATGGTGACTGAAAGAACTGCAAAGCATCATGATGGAACAAAACAATTAATTTAGCCCAAAGAATGACATGACATTAAGTGATTTGGTATTCTTAGCCTTTGCCTGTTCTTTATCTGTGCTTATTTTTCATATTGAGACACCTTTTCTTGTATTGTTGTGTGAGTAATATAGTAAAAAAGAAAGTTTAGCAACAGTGCCATTTTAATTGCCATCCTGTGACAACTCCTCCTCAGACTGGACAGAGAAAAGGCAAGCGCACATGAGTTGGTCCCGACAAAGAATGAAACTGTGCAGCATTCTTTGTAGCTGTGGTTGGGAAGTTAGTTATGTTTTGTGAGTCAGCGAAGCTCAACAAGGAAATACTTCCAAATGTATTCCCATTTCAAAATCAATCACCCGCTAACTGGTGTTTGCACGCAGAGATGTAAAATGTTTGCTTTTACGGTTTTATGGTGAAATATAACAGATGACTCATAGACTTATATACTGTAAGTTTTCTGACACATCTGTGAAAAGGCTCAGTAAACTGCAGCCACCATCTTGGGGCAGGAGATAGTATAGACTAGCAGTGACCACAAAATTTAACTATTTAGCAGGTAGATTCTCCCTCCAGTGCCCCTACATAACATTAAAATTAGCCAGAATTAGCCAGAATATTGCAGTTTGGGGAAGGTTCAATGATCCTACTTGAGTCATGCGTGTGTGTGTGTGAGCAGGCAATGTTAGGAAGGTTTAACTGTAATAAAACATTGTAATAAAATCTGATCCTCACCTCCAGCAGCCGTCAGCAGGGTTGTCTTTTTATAAGTGTCATCAGTAACAATGGCAGTGAGTTTCGTCTCATGCATGTACTACTTACCCTTGCAGGTCTTGCCGTCGTCCAGCAGCCTGTATCCCTCGTTACAGCGGCAGTGATAGCCATTGAGCACACTCACACACTCATGATCGCAACTGTGGTTCCCAAATGAACAGTAGTCGATCACTGAGGGGAGGAAAGCAGCGAGGCGGTAAGCAGCAGAGCAAACAGCAGCAACATGTGTGGGATTGCATCTATGTTCCCTCCGTCTCACAGTAAATCTCACAAGCCAAGATCCTCACTGAAGCAATATTTGTTTTGTTCACTTTGCCAGTTCAGAATTACTACTAAAGTTAGGGTTGTGTGTAAAGGAAGTCTTTAAGATTAAAGACTTTGAACTATGTATTTTATTGAGACAAACAGGAGCAGCAGGAGGAACATAGTGCAATCCTGGACTCAGCTTCAAGAATCAGCAGCTTGTGAAGGTCAGAATCCAGTTCAAGCCGATTTCAAGCCGAACACACATATTAATGTAAAGCCAGGAGCCATCAGCAGTTCTTACTGTGTTGTGTGAAATCATGTAATGTATGTTTGTAGCATTACAGTTTCTACACGAGTTTGTGTGCATTTATTTTTCTGCATATATATATGTGTGTGTGTGAGAGAGACTAACTTGAGCAGGTCTTCTTGTCGTTATTCAGTTTGAATCCTTTGTTGCAGTCGCAGGTGAAGGAACCAGGAGAGCTGATGCAGATTTGTTCACAGTCGTTTTTCCCCTCAGCACACAGATCTATGGCTGAAACACACATGCAAGCAATTTATTGGGTACCTCTATTTCTTATTAAATAATTACCATTAATTGTGGATTCATGAATCCTTTTCACCTTTTGCATGCAAGCATCTGAAGTCAATAAGCCCTTGTTTCTCCACTGCCAGGATAAATTTAACTTCCATCATCCCTGTTTTAAGTCATGTCTATTTTCATGTTTCTTGGTGCTTAAATTAGATCTTTAGCCAAATTAATAATTAATTGTGTTTTGCCATTCTGATGAGTATTTTATATAGTTTAGGTTTTCAAAGGCATGAGAGAGAAGTAAGGCACATGTCATTACTATTTACTGAGGTGCTTAACCCTTATCATCTAATTACCACAATTTGCTTCAAACATCTGTGGTACTTCTTCTCTTTGTCATAACCCAGTCAGCTCTGAACACACATTATAACTCCAGGATTTACCTGAGTTTTCCTCAGTGTCAAAGTAATCCTGTCATCCACGGATACAGTGCAAACAGGAACTGCTACCAGCTGATTCAGTCTACTTTTACTGGTGCCAATTTACCCAAACGTAAACAATTATATGCTAAAGAAAATGTGGCTCGAGTTGTGACAGCTGTCTCCATTTGGTCTAAGGTGGCCACACAGTGCGTGACCTTCGTCATCTTCTGTTACCTGCACATGTTTTCCCATCGATATTCAGAGTGTATCCGGGCAGACAGAGGCAGTGGTAGGAGCCCGGGGAGCTCTCACAGATGTGCTCACAGCCGTGCTCCGACTCCAGACACAGATCCACACCTGCAGCAGAGATGGTATCAGCGTCCAGCTACATGGTCATTATCAGCTTCTTACTATGATTGACGTGGTTCTACATGGACATACACTTTTCTGGCAAAGTCGGAAGCATTTTGGTTCTAACATTACAGATTTTTGTATTTGTGTTTTTTTTTTTTTTCACTTTCTTTCACTGGTTTGAAGGGTTTGGGCGGGTCTCAGTTGGAAAAAGGCTCTGTTATACTTATGTGCACATTTGACATTTGAATCCAAATCTGATGAGTTGTTGTTTGTTCATGTGGTCCTGCAGCAGAGACGAGGAGCTACAGAGGTCTAGTAGGCTCACTTCTTTCCAACTCCACACCAGCAGATTTTTTCTTCAGCCCCAACTGACGCCGACTCCAGTGACATCACATGAGGACAACACTTTCAACAGACTCGGATGTGTAAAAAATTTCCCCTTTAATGTTATGAAGAAATACTTTGATTTGAAACCAAGTTTTGAGAGGCTTCATCAACAAAAAGATTATTTGTAATTGTGATAACCATAATTTTCAAATCCATTTAGCAGCAAAACAGCAGCAGGTTTTATTCCCACACCAAAAACTCTTTGGTACAAACATAAAGTGTTATGCTTTTAAAATGAATTTCTTAATTTATTCTTTCATTTTCATTCACTGTCTTAAACATTTTCTGTCTGCCTTTACTCTTCTTTTCCATCTCCCGCTATGGTAAGCCAGGGATTTTATTATTCTTTTTTTTTTACAAAAGCAGTCCAGTCTAGAATAATAGCAGCATACAGGGAAATATCTTGCACTTATGGGATTTGGGGAGACTGTTATGAAAAAGTATTAGGTTCTGTGGGGTTAGATGGGCATGGTGATTTTTTTCTATTCAGGCCAGACATTAATAATGCTTTTAATTACATAGAGAATCTGATGTTGCCCCAGATGAAGCCAACGGCCTGAAATTTCAAATCCAGAGACTTGGCTGCAGGTTTTTACTTGTCTTATGTTAAGGTGACTTCAAATAAAAGTTTCCAGGCGTAAAATGTGAAGTTCTTTAATAGTTTCAGATGGAGATTTTATCAAAGAAAAGTATGACGTTAAATGAATGAATCCTGTCATAGGTCAGGTACTTCATGAGCTTTGGTTTTATCTGTTTCCAATGTGGGAGAGTAAAATTATTTAATCTTGTACAATGTTTGCTCATTTCGCATTCTGTAGTCACATGAAACACTTTCTGACAGGAAATAATGTAATAAAACCTGAAATTAGAACTCATCCAAACCAAGTCAAAGTAAACCACAAGCCAGATGTCGTTTTCATCTTGGTTCGTGGATGGCATGTTTGTCTTAACAGCCACTTTTATAGGCAACCAACCACGTTTTAAAGGTCCTGTTGTGAGTGAAAAATGGTTTTAGCAAATAGGATAATTAAAATACCAAATGTATACTTATTTCCTGTCCTGCAGTCTTACCGCAGAGCTTGTCTTGGAACTGCAGTCCAAACTGGTGAATGAGATCGAAGGACTCCACCAGGAAGACGTGGTCTTCGAAGGGTGGGGACGCCATGGCCCTAAGTGATGCCATGTCGGCTCTGGCCACCCCCACAGCGTAGATCTCGATGCCTTTCTCTCTGGCCTCAGCTGCCACCTCTGCCACGCGGTCCTGAGGACGTCCATCTGTCACGATCACGGCCACGTTGGGGACCTGAGGAGGAGAAAACCTCAGGGTCACAGCTAAGGTATGGTAGGGAGGTGTTTCACCAGAACAGGTAACTTGTGTTGCATTACCTTTGGCCTGTCTCCCGCCTCGTGGGTAAAGGCTTCGTTCATCACATATTTGATGGCGAGTCCGGTCATGGTACCCTGAGCGAGGGGAATGATCTTATTTATGCCTTTCACCATGGTGTCCAGCTTGGCGTGGGTATTCAGAGAGAACTCAGTGCGGACCTGAGGACAAAAGAGGAGACAGGCAACACTGAGCAACAGCAGAAAGTATGCTAGTTTACATCCTCACCTTTATCATTAAACTACACTGAATTAGCAGAAGGAAGAGGAAGCAGTGAGAATAGCAAAACCACCAAAGAAAGGTGACTAAAAATGAAACGGTGTGAAGTACTCCCTCTGATCTGAGTACATTTGTCTGGAAGACTGATAGATTTTTAGTCAGAGGGTGCATTTTGATGTAGCTATATGTGATTATTGTTGGTTTAAGATGTTTAATGTAAAACTGTTAATCCTAATAATAATAATATCAAAACTTTATTTACTGTATATAGCATATTTCACACAACAAGAACACAATGTGCTGCATTAAAAATGTAAAATACACACAAAAAGATGCATGCAAGAAATAAAAACAAGACAAAATAAAGTTTTAAAATGAAGTTAATACATTTCATACTGTTGGTGAAGTTAAAATATAGTTCATATTTCAAGGTAAACGCCAGTTTGAAAAGATGAGTTTCATCTTGTCTAAAGTTACCATTTTATATCTGCACTGCAAACAAAATACTAAAAGACAACAGTCAGCATAGTTTAAGTAGATAATAAAGAAGAGGAGGGACAGAAGGATGAGGATGACAAATGCTAAAGATCATTTAAACAAGACTGCAGCCATTGTTAGCAGCCATGTGAGGATGTACTCAAAGCAATGCTAACGTTGGCTAATTAGCACTAAAACACAAGGGCTGAGGCTGATGGGGAATGTCTGCAGGTAGTTTTGTCATAAACCAAAGTATTTTGAAAACGGAAACATGGAAATTTTGACCTAATAACAGCACTAGATGTTCACGGCAATCTCTCCAGTAGAAGTAAACAACATTGTTAAAGAATAAATAAAGAACATGTATGAAGGTCCGGATGCTGTGCTCCTGCTGTTGTACCTGGCTGGAGTACTGAACCACTCCCACTCTGGTGGCGTTGAGTCCAATGTCCAGGGTGTTAAGGATGTCGATCATGAACTTCCTCATGGTCTCAAACTCGTGTGGCCTGACGCTGCGAGAGCTGTCGATGAGGAAGACCAGATCCACCGGGCCAGACTTACATTTCTGCTCGGGACCTGGGAGAAGGAATAAAAATATTCACCTGGGAGGTTTAAAATAAGTCTTGAGCTAAAATGTTGTATTTTCATTTGGGTTTCTGATAGAGGAGAGGAATAAAGAAAACAGTAGGGATGTTTAGCGAGTTGATCCCCTGTTGTTTCCTAAATTAGTTCTTTTCTATGGGAAACCACTTTGAACATGTGATGACCCAACCTGCCTTTAAAGATCACTATGTCAAGTGAAACTAATTATTAAAAGAAAAACATTTCACTCTTGGTTTAACATTTTAAATTCAGAAAAACGTCTTTGTTCATACCTACGCCACTAGTTACGTTACCAATCACAATGTTCTCTTTCAAAAAGTTTGTGTGATATTTAAGGATAAGACCCCAACAAATGCACTTTCCTCCTGTTTGACTAATGTTTCTTAAAAACTGGAGTGAGCTGTTATTGAGGTTTTTTGTTTTTTTAAATGAAACTTTATATTTGTGAGCTGTCTTCGAAGATTTACATCTTCAGTTGTAACTAATGTGCTTCAGTTTGAGCGCCACAGGCAGAGTAGGGAAGTATTGAGAGACGTTTCAAACTGACAACGGATATGTGGGACATATTGTCAATATGTTAATGTAAAATAACAACAGCTGTATCCTATAAAAAAGCAATATAGTGTCTCATTAAGCAACATGTATGGAATAATGTGACATCTTCATTCTGTCTTCTACAATACTACACGTGGGAGAGTAATTTTCTTTGTGAATTTGCAAATGTCTGGGTGTGTTTTTTTTTTTTTTTTTAGGCCTTTGTACTCTGGTATAACGTTCACATTATTTACCACCTGAACTCACTTCTCCATGACTTCAGCTGCCACAAGGCACCTGCTTTTATCCTTAAATCTTCACTGTGAACGCACTCCCATGTTGTAACATCATCTCGGTTCAAAAACAGCAGTCATGAGTGAGGTATGAGGTGAGCCTGTGTTTGCGGTCGCTTTATGAGCTGGAAAGGACTTGTTTGATTAATGCACATCCAGGATTACTTCACAAAGGCTGCACTTCAACTAAAAGTCATAGTAGACTCATAGTGTCATAGTGTAAAAGTAGGCATTTGGGATTGTTGTGGAATCCATCTTTAGTTTCAAACAGACATGAGCAATCGCTCGTAACATCTTATAAATATGTCCACTTCACTTCATAAAATGTAAACCACATGCTCTCAAGTCTGATATGTTCAAAAACATAAGTGGCTTTAAGTAAAGTCATGATTCACGTGCGTATGGGAAGAGTCCTGTTCAGGACTCACGGCTTGTAAGTAGAAAGTTTCTGAAAGTTTAAAATTTGTGATATTTGCGGTGTTTAATAATTTTAACGCCAAAAAATGTTGTTTTAAAAATGGGTCTGTTTTGTTTTTATTTTGTTAGGAAGGAAAAAGGAAAAGTCCATCTCTGTGGTCAGTTCGTCTCCTGAAACAGTGTTCTCACAATTTAAACCACTTGAATACCTGATACATTGTCCGCCCAAATGAACTTTTGTTACAGGAGGCATATGTCCACTATTTGGGAGGAGGGTAACAAAAACACTGTCTTTCTTTTATCTTTATCCTTTATCTCCTTTTTGTCACACTGACCTGCTTTTGGCCTGGCGGTGGCGAGGACGGCCAGGCTCAGCAGAGTGAAGCCACATAGTGCTCTGAGCTGTTTCATCCTGATGATCTAGCAGACCGGTGTCTCACAGCTGGACTGGACTGGAACTGGATGAAACGGTGAGGAGGGAGAGCAGAGAGAAATGCAAAAGTGGTTATTTGTTTTAACATGATTGGTACTATGAGAGGAACTGGATTTATGGTAACTCCTGCTGAAATGTCCTTCAGGAAGACACAGAGTCCAGCCCCGGCTGATTTGCACTTATTTAGTGTCCAGACATCAAGGTCAAAAAGGCACCACATTTGGTGGAAAATGACATTTTATTAGATATAAATATTAGAAATAACCGTGTTTATGTCTTAGTGACTGCGCTCTATAGCGGCAAGTGACTTGTGGGTCAGGAATATGGGAATACACTGATATTGTTATTGAGGTCTGCAGAGGAAGGAAGTCTGGGAGAGATCTGTTTCCTGCTGACGGTCAGTAGTCTCTTTTATCCATGACCACAAGCGTTCCACAACAACTTCCCCACAACTAAGTAGATATTTTAACTCTAACCATGATTTTTTTTTTCTCTACAGCTACCAAGTGATCGTTCGTACCAAGTGCCTAAATCATCCAAACCTTAACCATAACGGTGTCCAGTCAGAAGAAGCTTTTATTGTTGAAACAGCAGTATGTTAGAATTTTGTAAGCCGCTGTCAAATGTCATCCTGTCGATAGTGGCGTCACATCAGAAAATGCTCATGTATCTTTATGGAGGGCAAACAACTTATTTGCTGTGTAATTTGGAAGACTATTTGGGAGTCTGAGGGCAGAGGAAATTTTGTTATTGATTCATTTAGGGTATTAAAAGTGAGGCTGTCAAACATTATTGTGTTATCATGCATCAACAAAAAAAAAAAATGAGACAAGGAGTACATATAGACCAGAATACTCTGTATTTTATTGTGCTAACTCTAGCAGTTGTGGTCCTGTGTTTTTCCCTTTGAGCTTTCACATGACAGCACAAATATGTTCTGATGCGAAGGCTGTCATTTGATAACCAATCAACTTACTGGCATTTTTCAACTTAGAAATATAGCTAAAATTCGATCTATGTTAACTTTTAAGGACACCGAGACCATTTTACACGCCTTCATCTCATCACGCCTGGATTATTGCAACAGCCTTTTCACCTGTTTAACCCAAAAATCTATTGATCGACTCCAGACTGTCCAGAACTCAGCTGCCAGGCTTTTAACCAGAACAAAGAAATATGACCACATTACTCCTATTTTAGCTTCATTACACTGGCTCCCAGTATATTTTAATATTGACTTTAAAATTCTATTGATCACTTTTAAAGCTCTTCATGGCCTCTCGCCTTGTTATATTTCTGACCTTTTAGTCCCATACGCACCAGCACGTACCTTGAGATCCTCGGGCAGAGGTCTGTTGTCTGTTCCAGAGTCTCGACTGAAAACTAAAGGGGACAGAGCGTTTGCTGTCAGGGCCCCGAGGCTCTGGAACAGCCTGCCCGAGGAAATCAGGTCGGCTGAGTCAGTGAACTCTTTTAAGTCCCTTCTTAAAACATACTTTTATAGGAGAGCTTTTCCCGATCTTATATGACTTTATTTTATCCCTTTTATTTTATTGTATTTTACTAATTTTATATTAAATTTTCATGCTCTTATCTTTATTTTTTTTTATTTTTTTTTTTTTTTTGTATTATTCTTTACACTTGTTAAAGCACTTTGTAACTTGTTTTTGAAAAGTGCTCTACAAATAAGGATTATTATTATTATTATTATTATTTCTACGTTCTGTAATCGCTCACCACATGGTAGAAACTCCCGTAACTTCCCGTCATGTGTGTGTGTGTGTGTGTGTGTGTGTGTGTGTTTGTAAAGTGATGATAATGTCGATGATGGGCGTGTGTTGCAGAGGGACATTCCAGTCTTGCCCCATCGTAAAACACTCGTCTGCGAACACCTGGATAAGGTGCACAGCAAGTCCTGCTAATAGACGGGTGTGAGTAAACACACACACGGTCCCTAATCTGCCTGTGTGTCTGTCAGTATCCCTGTAGGCTATCAGGTCTACCAGCAGCAGCAGCAGAGAGATAATGATAATGTTGGCGAAGTGTTTATGCTCAGGGCACACGGTCAATTCAAACAGGCTCCATGAAAGCCACCTCTCTTCCTCAGGTCCATGGAGAGGGGTCCTTCAGGCGTTTATCTCTGTCTGACTGGCAGCCAGAGCATATGGTCATCACTGGCTCAGGTCTGAGTAACGAGTCAACAGATGTGGACGAGCACAAAGGCTCTTTTCTCTGTTTGTCTCGTTGTCTTTCTTTGTGGCTCTCGCTATCTCGCTCTCTGCCCACTTTCTCTCATCACGCTCATCCACATATTTTCATGAGCATCTCTGTAGAGAACGTAGGGTCAGCCAAACATGTGGAGCACATTACTCATGCTTTTACTATTACTTTACTTTTAAGAGTAGGCTGCAGTAATGCCCTGTGCAGAATGTGTTCTCCATGGGCTTAAGTTTAGCTGATTCCTATTCTTGATTCCTCTAACTTGCTTCACATGAAGTACATTAGGCTTTATGTAACAGATCTTACAGCCCTGAAGGGTTACTTGAACACTATGGACCCATTGTCCCCACCCATCAAATCAGGTGGCTCTCCTGAACAATTTAAAAAGCACCTGAAATATCCTTTTTATATGTCTTTTTATACCAGGGTTGTGTGTCCCATGGTATCATATGTGCATGTTTATATGTTTTTGTCATTACATTCGGAAAGAAGCACATGTCTTTACATGAACTAACATAAAGCCCAACCCTAAATCAAATACCAGTTTTAATGTAGCCCACATCGCACAGGACCAATAGTGTGGTGTACTCGTACCAACCAACAGAACGCCACTTTAAAACAAAATCCGCATTATGCATGTCTAATTTCTCTTGCAAGGATAAATGAACAAAAATGCACAGACGCCTACGCTCACTCTCACGTGCCAAAATATGTCATGGTCTGTGTAATGTCCAAAGTGGAAGGAAGGAGTGGGAAGAAGAGACGGCTTGTGATGGAAGTGAGGAGATGGGAAACAAAGTATGAAACCTAACTGGTTATCCTGGCAGCCCAGGGGTTAAGGCTCCAATCATGGATCACATCCAGGCAGATCTTTGTTGAATGTCATTCCAATTTCTGTCTCCCCTCTCTGTCTTTGCTCAGCTGCCAACTATCTAATGAAGGCATGATATGCAAAAAAAAAACTAACCTAACTAAAGAGATAAATTAGTCTGGGACTTTGGGCCTCCCCTCAAACAAAGCTTGGAATAAGGTGCCCCCTCCTCATACCTCAGTTTCTGGATGCCTATGGGATCGTGTCATTTGATCTCATAGACACTCAACAACTGAGCCAAGATAACTTCTGACCACACCAACAACATAAAAAACTGTCTGTCCTGTGGCGTTATTAGCTTTTGACTCTGGGAAAGTGGGAAAAACAGCTGAATTCCCAAAGCATCTTTATCTCTGTTTAACCAGATCACACACATTAAGGGCATGTGATCTCCTTTTGATAACTAATGTAATAACTTTTCACTGAGCCTTCAGGGCAACACAGGGTTATAAATCAAATCATATTAGCCTGAGATTATCATTTTTAATACTGCATATACCACAAATACATACCACAGATATATAATGTAGCATTGTTTATCTGATTAGATGGCCTCCACTTACAGTACACAGCAGCTTTATAGGACTTTGTACCTTGACAAGATTGAGTTTATGCAGTTTAATCTTTAGTGTAATTACTTTCTAGATATTCTATTAACTGCACAAACTATTAGTGGCTTACTGTATTCTGAAAATACACATCATGCATGTTCTTCAAAGGAACACTGATAAAAAGAGTTGGTGAAATCATGAAATTAAAATGCACCAAAAGCTTACGTTCACACACCCAGAGACACTTTAATGTATCAACTGATTTCAGAGTTTGGTTTGTTTGAGACTGTGTGTGTGGGACAAAGACTCCTCAGTATGGCAGCAGCCTTCTCCCCCACACCTCCTCCCCCAACTCCCTTTTCCTGTGTTCCTCACCGGCCGCTCACCTCACAATCTACTACCATCCTGCTGCTGCTGAGCACGTGCAGTAACCCCCCCCCCCTCAGCAAGCCTCAGCGCGGGTCACAGACCAACATATGTTCTATAATTATACACAAAGAGAATCATTCAGCTCAGACCAAATATTTTCTTGTTAAACATTTCATTGACTGGATGCAGTTGAAGGCTGTGCAGCGCGCCTGTGTGTTTCTTACTTAACAGTTAAATATAGAAGTGGAGATCCTATTTCCTTCAATTAACACTTTAAACAAATTAAAACAGTGTCAGCTCTCTTTCCAGCTTTGGGGATACAGTTTATTCACCATAAAAATGTGTAATGTGAACTTTTATAGACATTTTATTCACAGAACTAAATTGTATTGTGTAACCACTGCGTGAAATTATAGGATAATTAACTGAATGACCTTGTTACTGATGTCGAATCTGAAAAGAAATGTGCTTTAAACATAAAAGCGGGTAAATGCATGTCAGGGAGCAGTTTGATGCCACATACAGCACTGAAGTGTTAACCAAGCGCACAGTTTACAGAGGTAGTTGTTAAAAAAGGAGTCAAAGGGCAGCAGTAGTTGTTGACGTTGGCATGAATGTGAGATTACCACGACAAATGAAACAGTGGCTTTTTCTTAAAAGGTCTTTTCAAGTTCAGGCAGTAAAAATAAACCGTTGGATTTCCTCCAGTCGGATTTTTGTTGCAGTGGAAATTCAGAAGGAGATTGAAGCTAAAAATGCTTTCCAGCCTTCATACGACCATCAGCTGTGTGAAGCTGAAGTAGCTGATGCAGGATGAAAAAATAAAAACATATAACTTATACTCTTAAAATATCACAAGTAAAACTGATGTGATGTGATGTTGTTATTACATGTATATATTAAATTAATATTACCACTGATACCACTGAAGCAGTATTTTAATGTTACAGCTAATTTAAACTACTTCATATATTGTTGTATAGTTTTTTTTTCTGCTATCTAATTAATAAATTGATCATGTTTTGTTTGTCAAATCTTAATTAAAAAAAGTAAGTAGTTACTCGAGGTGTTAATGTTTCCATCGTTAATGTTACATAGTTAAGTGTAAAGTAGCATGAAGTTAAAACGTAAGTAAGTCCTTGAGTAAATGTTACTTTTCACGACTGCTGTCTGAAACATTAAAATGAAATTCTACGTCCAAATCCCGGATGTTTTTAGAGACATCTGTCCTTCCCTTCACCCTGAGTCTAGTTTAACATGTTAGGCTTGAGTTTTTTATAATGCAGCCTTCCACCCATGCACTGTTCACTTCTGTTAGTCTGAACAAAACAAAACAAGAACTGTTAACAATTAAATCAAGAAGCTGCTACTTAAACAACAGCATTACATGACACACTAACAAGTATAAATGTCAGGCCTGGGTTTCCTGTTACTGCTGCCCCCTATGGAGCAGGACATGTTGCATGCATTTTCCAGATGTCCGGTGTATCGGCCCCTGACGTCCACTCAAGCTACAGTTAGCGGACAGGAGGAACTCTCACTTGAGCCCAGCATCACTCTGTGTGGCTTCTGCAGAACCGATTGCACTGATAAACAAACTGCTTTAGGTGTGACGTAACAATTCATCTAATTAATCAGTTTAAACGTGTGTCAGAGGAGGACTGGGCTACAACTAATGATGATTATCGATTCATCATTTTCTCTATAAAATGTGAGAAAAAGATGAAAATGTATAATTATATTGATTATCAGATTATTAGATACCAGTCCAAAACCCAAAGATGCTCAATTTACTGTTACACATGACCAAATAACAGCAAGTCCTCAAATTTGACAAGCTTAAATTCAAAGAATTTTGTTATTTTGTTATGATGACTGAAAAGATTAATGATTAGAGCTTCTGAGGCTCAAATAGTGGATTAATTGACTAAACATTTAAGCTCTAGAGGAGGATGGTCAATCTCTCTACTGGATGTCTGATATTTGTCTTCTTAACATAAATACTATTCTGATTTCGGGTATGATCACCTCATCACTATTCTTGAGTAGCAATGAGTGACTCCATCATTTTAATATGCAATCAAAACTAATCCAAGTGTCTCACAGAGTTATTGTATCTCAAGAGACTTACTGGTAAAATAAGAGGAATAAAAACCTCTTTAGACTTAATTGGAAATGCAATGTTTTCCTCTGGCCTCACGATCTTCCTCCCTGATTGAATGTGCAGCTAAACAAATTTGATTGAACACAAGAGTTATAAATTCGGAAGTTTGGAAGTACTGTACAATCCGGGCCAAGGCAGAGGTAGAGACGTAACATATTTCAGTCAGAACAGATTTGTTTTCAGCTCCGTTTGGATCAGTCATTGTCCGGACTCTCCAAAGTCTGTCCATCGCTGCTCGATTGAGTTTGACTTATGTGACTTCAAACTGTTCCTCTGGCATCTCACGTCAACTCAACAAAGCTCTTTCACAGCCTTTCTGAACAGTAATAATTTCACCACTGGTCACAGTTGGCAGTAAAAAACACTACCTGTAGCGCGTATCACGCATGTAGTTTTGGTCACCATGACACGGACTGTCTAATAGAAAACACAGGCATCTTGTTGAGTCCTGCTGTTTGTTTTCATCAGATTGTAATGTTTTAAGCAGCCTCTGACTGTTTAACACCGAGACACTGCAGGGTACGTCCGCCTGCAAGATAAAGGTGTTTCTTTGTTTAAACACTGTTGCCTTGGAAGTAAAGGTTTGGTTTATAGTTTTCCTCTTCCTCAGCTAGTATTTTATCAGCTTGAAGTTCAACATTTTCCTCTCTTGCAGAGAGTTAGGCAATACGACTGATTCCACTGTCAAGTCTGTCTCTTCAATATGAAGAAACCACAAACAGATGCTTTACTTACAACAAAATCCACCTAGTAGCACCTCTAAACCGCCATTTCACAGGACTCTTTCTTGGTCTTGGGACCAGCTGCCCAGCAGAGACTCCCAAGACGTTGCTAGTCCCAACGAAGAAATAGTCTGACACATAACTCCACATGAAACAGTGATTTTGTCATTTTTTTTGTTTAATGTGATACTATGTCACTTTTGAAGGAAGAAATATCAAACTCTTTATGTTTTTAAAAGATATGAAACATGTTTTGTGTTTTCAGTCCACTGACCTTATGACTCTTCTGTGCTTTGTCATGCCTAACATTTACCATTATCCTGTAATTGCCACTTGTGGCTACATTGGCAGCTGTTACAAAATTACATGGTCTTGCTTTAAAGCGCCTTTGTTTAGAATTATCATGTGATTATAACATCTTTCAAATTTCTATGATGACAAATGTTTGGCATGAAATTTAAAAAAATGAGACAATCCTGGTGAAAACGTGTGCAGTTTATGCGTTGTTTCATTCATTCATCCTACTAATCCTACACATAGCAGTGGTTCATACCTGTATACATTAACTACTGCACACTGATAAGCGTGTCAGAGGGGAGTTTTTGTGTATCTACAGTATGTCATACAGCAGACTGTTTTACATTTCGGTGACTTAGTTATAAATAAGAACAATAAATAGGAAAGACTAGTGGTAAACCACAAGAAAAATAACATGGTTTTTATTTTAGATTTAGATCTAGATTTAAACAAAAGGTTACAGAAATGTCAGCCAGCACATATTTGCAGTGTTTGCTAAAGAGAAAGGTGTGTGTGGGAAACCTGCAGGTGAGCAACAGGTGATTATCTCCCTATCCACACAAACCACAAACCCTCTTCTGACCGACACAGTAACGTACACACACATACACACACACCAAGACCAGTGGTGAGATAACACATCCGGCATGGAGTGCAAACATGAACCCACGTGCACACAGAGATAACTTTAAATATGTATTTTCCACAAAAGCCTCCCTCACTGCAGATCGACTGTAAGGTGACAGGGCGACGTGGTGCTTACTGGTTAAGTTGGTTGGAAACTGCGAGGTAACTGCATCACTGCTGCATATCCATCTGGATGGATGGAAATCTTCTGCACAATCAACCAGAATGAGAAGAACAACAGGAGGAGCTTAACTAACAACTTCAGGTCAGATCCCAGAACAATGGAATTTTTCAGGTCATTATTTATTTTTTTGTGTTTGTGAGACATTTTAAATCACAATGCACTGTGTTCATTCAGATTTGTTTGTTAATTACATTTGGGATGTGTTTACACAGATAGTGGACCCAACACCAAGGGGATGTCAGTTTCAATAGACCATCAAGCTGCAATACTAAGCCAAGTTGATGTTTAGTCGAGAGCTGCATAAATTGAATTATACAGCTGTTAAGACTTACGAAAGGCATTGTTTAATCCTACATAACAATATCTGCCAACTATGCATTAGTTTGTCCAACTACATCTACATCACTCATGGATTGTTGTACAGCTCTGTCATATACAAAGATATCTTCCACAGTTAACGCTGCAGTTATATTGAAAGCAGTTGTTAAAGCAGAGCGACTATGGACCCGAGGAACTCCTAATGTCAGCAGAGGCCACGCCCATCATGGATGAGTTGGACACTGGGGAAGATGTCAGGAAAGGTGAGCAGAAGATGAGTTTGCCATCTTTTTGATCCAATTAGTTATTCATGACGAATGTGACATCAAGCAGCAACAAACAACTGTGATAAATTAAGCAACTTCAGAGGGAAGTAGAGATTTCCTGGAAATTATATTTTAACACGAAGAGTCTCTTCAGCCATGCTAGCAGCAGTCTGTGCTTAGACACAGTGGTGCTTTGAGCTAAATGTTAATATGCAGCTGATTAGCAAAGATAATGTTAACCTGTGTAACCCAAAAAACAAAGAACTGCTCACAAACCATCCAGAAATATGAACCAGAGATTAAACAGTCATCAATCATGCAACTCCTGATGCCAAATAACCCACCGCCGCGACCTCCTGCCGGGGTTGCGACCCTGCGGCTGAGAGATGGTGACGGGTGACAGATATTTGACCCTGTTGTTGACATCTTGGTGGAAAGTTTCTAAACCTCGGTTTGACAGAGGTGTAGGACGAATTAACTTAAGGCCTACTTAATAAAATATTTTAGATGTATTAGTACACTCAAGTGTTTCATAAAATACTCAATGTGCACAGTGTCTACACTTGTGCTCTGCTGAATGTGTTTTGGGGGGCTGTGCAGATTTGGAGTGAACAATATGCTTCTGTTTAACACATTCTCCTAACTCCTAACTTGTCACACATGGACGCTTGGTAAAGACCCCTCAAGCATCTCCTTTTAAAAAACTCTGTACCCCCATAGCTTAGTATTTGCACGTGCAAGGCTCCATAGTCAAGTTAGCAATAATAAATCTCCAACATCGGGCGAAATAAAACAGATGATTAACGTTGTGAAAGAGTTTGGCTAGGTTTAGGCAACAAAACCACTTGTTTAGGTTTAGGATAACATTGTGATTTGGGTTAAAATAAGTATGTTAGTTACATCAGTTAAGCTACGTTAAGTATCGACTATTTCTTTCACACGGGAAACGAACACGTATCCCCTTCCAACCACCCAGACTTCCTCGCTACACTGATTTTCACCGGGCCTGCTTGTAGCGACCAATGAAGCTAAAGGGCTTTTGAGTGCATTAAAAACTGATGCCATGGGGTCTTGACAAAGCCTCTGTATGTGAAAACTTGGGATTGAGACCGGGTTGTCCTGTTAAATCATCCTGTTCTGTAGTTGGATAGCATTCTGTATAATACCCTGCTATTTCACATTAACACAAATGCTTTTCTTTCTCTGTGTTATCATAATAGGAAAGGCTTTGACTTGGTTAGATAGTCAAGCACTTAAAAACTGGTGCTGCTAATGCTCTACATAGATAGATATTTCTGCTACACAAAATAAAAGTTTATATATTCAGATTTTCGTTCAGGTTTTTCTTTTTCTCAAAGGCATCATTTCTGTCCGTCAGTTAAATAACTTTGCTGTCAGGTGTCACAAGCCAAGAAAAGGCCGAGAACGTCTAGACCAAGTCCTCACACAAGGGAAATATTGTGATTTTGTCACCTCTTGTGAGCACATCTGACATCTGAAATCACTTGAGTGTCGTTGTGTATAATTAAAAATGCCCCTCTCCTCCGGTTAAAAGGAAAACATTTAGATTAAAGCAGCAGGTGAAGGAGGGAGATGTGTGTAGAAAGAAGGGGGGAGACAGGTAGGTTACATAATATATAAGTAGTTTCTCTGTAAGTTTGAGTGACAACCTGGATTAACTCTGAGATGATAACATCTCAGCTCAGCGGTTCAGACGTTAGAAAGAGAGAAGGAGAGACCAGATGTTCATTTATACTGTGGCAGCATATTGAGAGAAATATGGCAGGAGGGTAGCGAGGAGTAGCTGTGTGCAGTGAGACAGGCAGGGAGGTTGTGGTTGGTGCTGTAGGTGGTTTGGGTTTTGAGTGACAGCTGGAGCCCATACTGAGATGAAGACACAGCACTTCTTGTTAGTAGCTTTAGACTGGAACCAGATGTTGACTCTGCTACTGTTCGCCTGCCTGTCTTCCTCACCAACTTCCTGCATGACTGACTGACTCTCTTACTGACTGACTGCTTGATTATCTGTTTACTGACTGTATACCTACCTGGGCCAGGTTTCACAAAGATGGACTTTCCTTAATAGCCGCCAGACTTCAGATAGATGTCTAAATTCATCTGTTGCACAAAGCTATCTAGTTCTTTACTGTCTTAAAAATGGCAAATTTGTCATGGATTCTGGGTAACTTACCAAAATAAGAAACATGGTTGGCCGAGCAACCACGTCAAACCTTTGAAGCTTTAAAGACAATTTAACTTAGTGGCCAAACTGTGTAATTACAACTTCCGGGTCTGTCACATGATGCACACTCATCCAAACAGACATTTTCCCATTGATGTAGATTGTAAAAGAAGTTCCTATAAATCTTCCCCCGTGAAATGACTCGTTTCACTATCAGAATTTTATCCATTCGGTCCGATAACATTTAGAAATCATTTTATCCCCATTCAAGTTACAGGAGGGCTAAACTGGAAGTTAGCTGCTCGGCAGGCAGAAGACTCTGATGGGCTTTTTTACGGGCTGCACGATGCGGAAGCTATGGGGAAGATCTGCGTAATTTTCTACAATGGAAGTTGTACTTTTTTGGCTTCTTGCACCACTGGGCAACTTTCATAGGAATTAACAGGGTCCCTCCTCTGGCTCTGTATCCAGTTCTCCTGTTACATCCATGTTAAACCACTGCGCTCCCTTCAGAAAATGTCTTAACTATACAAAAAGAAGCATAGAGTCTCAACATATTTCAGACGTGTAGCTGAGCTGAGATGTTGGAGCTTCTTGTGGCTTCTGATAACAGTAAAGCTCAGGATAATTTCTTCCTCGCTGTTGTATATTTTCAACAGGTTACTGCGCTCTCTAAAAACTCTTCCCCTTCTCATTACTCATTCCCACAACATCGTTAACAAAACTCTTTGTTGTTTGGTGCCACTGGAGAGCAGATGTCACTGGCCGTGTAAAAATCATCGCATTAAGTGTTTTTTTCCATCCATCTGTTCAACAAGTTTGTTTGGGTATAGAAGAGCAGAAACACCAGAATATCACAAAAATAGTTTATACAACTGGCAAAAGTGGAAATAAAAGCAAAATGCGAATGGAAACAGAGTCAGAGAACAAATGAAGCAGTGACTGAAAACATCAGATCTGTGTGGAGCGATGAGGAGGCTGGAACCTTCCTCACATCAATGCATCAAACGAACAGAAAAGTCTTCTTTTCATCATGTATTTCCATCGTTTGAGCTTTGACCGGGGCTATTTTAATGACGTCCTCTTCTTCTGTGATGGTTTAATGACACTGACTAGATGCTTATCTGGATGCATCAGCTCCTAATTTTTACATAACAGGAATTTGTTTCAAATGTGCACAAACTTTGGGTGTGGTTCATAGTTAGCCTAGAGGTAGGATGGCAAATTATTTAAGCTCAAGATAAGTGCAACAAGAGCAAAATGAAGTCTGGCGTAACACTACAACTAACTGTATCATGACTGGATGGATTTCAGTCCATCGGCCTGTATGACTGTCGGTCTTACTGGCTGACTTGCTGCCTGTATAGGTGTCAGCCTGCCTCTTTGACTTTACAGTCTACCTTGTCTCTCTGCTCAGTCTGGCTGCTTAGTCTGCCTCAATGCAGCCCTTTCGACCGCCTGCACAGAGCATCACCTCCAGGCAACCAGTGTGAACCCAGAACATCACTCACTCACTCATTCACATCTATTTAAAAACCTGCAAACACCACCATTGATTTTTCTGACTTAATGCTAATTAGAAGTTAAGGACTAAAAGATGACAGGACATTTTATTGTCTCTGGCTTTCTTCAATGAAATACATGCACTGAAGCATGCAAAATGTTAAGACTTCAACTTCTCGCTTTATAGTGCACAAATGGACCAATCAGAGTAGCAATGATAAATGCTTTTACAACAATCCACATATGTTTTTAAGTCCATCAGAGTGCAAATATTTATTATAAATATCACTGGACTCTCCAACAAAACATAAAAAGTTAGACAACTTAAAACAAAAAGCTAAAGATCAACATGCTTATTATTTCCTGGAAGCAAACAAATGTTTTGTCTGTAGGATTTCAGAGAATAATAAAAATGCTGATCATAATTTGCCAGATATATTCACTTTGCTATCAGTTAAGACAAAGAAAAGCAGCAAATCATCACATTTTAAGAGTTGGAATTAATAATGGTTTGACATTTTGCTTAAAAATGTACTGATTTAGTTGCTGACTAATATTGTCTTGATGGACTCATTTGAGCTCTATTGACATCCTTATTATCTACACCATAATTATAAATGCTCAGTGTATAATTTGCTGCCACAGTATTAATACTACCACCCTGCTTCTGTTTCAGTTAAAATGTAGACTAGTTTAAATGGTGCACCGTTTAATTTTCTGTTAATATCCGTTCACTTAGGCTACTTGTAAATTGAGCCACTGTCTCAATTAATGATCTTTATGAACCGATCTAACAGTTTAGTCTCTTTTAATCAATCTAGAAACATCTACCAACCAGCCAGGATACTCCCAGGCAGACACCACCCTGTTGTACCCCCCTCCGCTGTCCCCCGACCCCGTCAGCCCGCTGACTCACCTGGGGACGCTGCTGGCTGGACACAACGCAACGAGGACCGGCGAATGGGACAGGTAAGGCAGGCAAACCAGCTGGGTATTCAACCTCCGCAAGAAAAAGTCCCGTAACAAGCACACACAGAGACACACACCCGGGTGAGCAAAGGTGAGGTATGTTCTAAGTTGTACTTTATCCCAAACTTTATCCCCACCGTGCCGTGAGGAATGAGCGCTTGGACGTGAAAATGCGTTCAGGGCGGTGGGGTCACTCTGCCTCCTCTCCTCGGTTTTACTCACTGATGGAATGAGGTGGCGGAGGGGTGGTGTGTAGGTATTAAAATGGCAGGAGGAGAAGTATTCGTGAGGGCAGAGACCCCACCCCTCTGTCTTTGAAACCCGAACAACGGGGAGCGAGAAAACCGAGATTCTTCAGGCTGCTGGAGAGGTTTGGAGAAGTGGGGCCGTTGCGCATAGCGCGCGGCGTGGCGCACGAGTCAGGGAGGCATCACTGATGAGTCTTCAGTTTTATTGTCAAACATTTAAATCCGTTAAAATTTTACATCCAAAAACATTTAGAATCTTACATTTTTGCTCAAATACGGTGTTCAAACTTTTTTTGTGAGATCTCCACAAACTTAAAATATTACATTTAGTTATATTTTCACTAAAATCTCTCCAGAAGTTTTACATTTAACCTCTAAAGGAGACATAATGTTTGTATGTTTAATTAGGCTAGATGTCCCAGTAGTTTTATGTTAATTTATTGTTCTTTTTGTATTAATTGACAGTGTGTATTGAAAGTGTGCTGGTGAACTGTCACAAGTCATTATTTCAGAATGGAACACAAAACATGCAAACATAGACAGACAAAAGAAAATGCAGTTTTAAATGTTGTATTTCAAGTTCTGCACACTTTATCCTGTCAGAAACGTTATGATCCAACATCTTTTGTATGAGATACACACCTGGTTTATGTGTGTGTGGTAGTATTTAAGCTTTCACCAGAGGTTTAACCTGCAGTCTAAACACTAAACGCCTCGTCTGAACAACTTTCCTTTTGTCTGTTTTTACAGCACTGACACCTGTTGAGTCGTGCTCACTAACAAAACTAATGGTGATTGTAGTCATTACAACTTTCAGCTGCTTCTACCAGAACAACCTCTGGACCAGGAGATGCACTTTCTGAGGTGAACGTGCATTCCTCTCCACCCCCTCCCTGATTTCTCCTTCTGTCCATTCTTTGTTCCCGGTGCGAAATGCCAGAGAGTCTGAGCTCCTGACACACTGACCTTTGACCTTTGAAGAGGGAAAGATCTAATTTAGACTCATGCTGGCACCCTAGTGATTGCTTACACACACGCACACATACACACACACACACACACACACACACATACAGCCAGTCAAGTGTGAACCCTGGACTGTGAACTGCGGAGAGAGGCATACCGGGTCAGTGGGATCCCCCTCATATATGAACAAAACATTCAGTATGCAGCTCCCCACTTCCCTCCCTTACAAGGAGCAGCCTGCTCTCCTCTGAATACATGCACTATTGTATGAGGGCAGGAACTAGGTGAGGGTCACAGTTTTGTATGGAGATAGACAAATCATGAATTTGCTGATCGTTTTTTTTTGCTGAGACAGATACAAAACATGTTCAGTCCTTCACGTGGATCCAAATGAAGGCCACCAGGAAGAGTGTAGCTTACTTTGCAGAACGCAGGAACATGCTTGCTGTATTTCGACCACAAGTTGAGTGTGCAAAGGAAACGTACACATGAAGAGGAGGGTTGTGTGACTGAAGGACAGATGATAGTTTTCCCTTTGTGTTGGGAGAGTTTAGTTTGCAGGCTCATGTTTTTATCAGTGTTTAGTACTCAGCTTTTCAGATGCAACCAAAGTGTCAGATTTAATAATCCCCCCATTTCATTTTTTAAACAATATCTTCTGCATGAAAAAAACCTAAGATGTTCTTATAAAGAGGAACAGATCAGCAGTGCAAAACACCAATGCGAAAATGCTCTGTTGTTGTCGTAGCAGAAGAAGCTGTGTGAAGCTGTTTCTCCCTGCTGAACACTTTAAAGATATTTCTACAAACGTTTCTAAAACTGGCTGCAGCCGTGTGTTGTGTCAGGTCAACAGCCTTATCAACACATCCGCTGATCAGTTTGATTCTGCCCACCCTGAAGAATGAAAGATATTTTTTGTTGGGATTTTATGAGCAGAGAAAAACACGGATCCGTGTAGTTTCTTTTTGACCCTCTTAGCCTCTGCCTGAGCGTCTGATCAGTCGTGTCTTGACTGTGGTGTTATTGGGTTGTCCTTGTTAAAGCCAGCACCCTGCTGCTTTAGAGAGTCGCCTGGCTCTTCTCTTCCTGACACTCACATGAAGGCTGGAGTCTTTTTCTTTCTGTAGTCGTGCCTTGTCATTTGTCTTGCAGCAACTATTTCATATTCATATATATTTCTATTTGTAAAGTTTTAAATTTGTAAAATAAAAAATAATTAGTTTTTATTTTGAAGGGACTTTGAAAAGGGCCACAGGTTCAATATTCTGCAGCGAGTTTAAATTTTCATGTTTTCCATTGAAAATGGTTTAAAGAAATTCTTAGACGTTTTAAGAAATACACTTATTCTCTTTCTTGCTGAGAGTTAGATGTTCAGATGAATACCACTCTCACAGTAAATAAGAACTACAGCCAGTTAGCTTAGCTTAGCATAAAGACTGGAAACAGGGGGAAACAGCTAGCCTGCCTCTGTCCAAAGGTGAGAAACCTACCAGCACCTCTAAACCTCTCTAATGAACACGTTATATTGTTTGTTATACCCGTACAAAAACTAAAGTGTAAGAACAAGTTGTGTTTTATCATTCATGCTCGTGTGCCCGACTAATTTTAAGCATGTTCCCTTAAATGTTGGACATTTCATTTTAAAAACAGCTTATCAGATAATCTTTTAATATTGCTTTGAAGATTTCTGTTTCATGCTCTCACATCTTCTGGTTCATACTGCACGTTGTCACAAATGTTTGTTTTTTTTTTGTTGTCATGAGCCACAAAATTCTGCTACATCTTTTCACCCTCTTCTTCCTCTCCTCCTCTCGTGTCAACAGTCTTCATTATGAGGTAGCATTCCAGACTCCGGGCCCCGGGGCAGTAATCCTCATTACAACCTTACTGCAGAGAGAAAACACAGCTAATGTGACAGCTGCTGCACGGGGCCACTCAGCCCGTTAATGTTTCTGCTCTTTCAGCCACTCACCTGCTGTTCAATTAACCATGTGAAATCTAATCACACAGATGAGTTTGCAGACCGAAAAAGTGACAAACAACTTTAAATTAATTGCTCTAATTGAAGAATGAATTAATGATTTTTACCACATTTCCAACAAGTGAAAACAGAATTCGAGCCAGTTGACACATGCACACGTTTGTTATTACAGTTTTTGTTTTTGTTTCCAAAGTTTTTTTTGTCTCATGGTTAGGTTGCAACCTACCAGCTTACTCGCTTTTCACTTTGTTTTACTACGTAAGTGAATTAAAGGAAATCTAGAAAGAAGGAAGTTGTTGTTGCTTTTTGGTTTAGAATTTAATTGCTAATGCACAAATATATAAAAACTATACTGCACCAATGAGTGAAAGCATTGTTCAAATGTTTTGAACAGATCTTTAAAATAACATAAATATCCACATCCTAAGTCAGTAAACTGACTTGATATTCCCTGAACTGATATTTTGTTTAGTTTGTTCTTGCCAATGCTTACCCACTGTTGACTTTGCTTTGGTCAAAACACAAAATGAACAAAATGCTAATCACAGGCAAGACGACTTTTGAATGAAGCAAGCAAACAAATGATAGGGAAAAAATAATTAAATCGATCTGAACAAATAAATTGACCATATTATTTTGTGAAATCAGAATAAATTCGTATTTTTATTCCAACAGTTTAACACAAACAATTTAATATTATTTAAATACAAAAATGTGAATTTGGTAGATTTGGTATGTTGTGTGAAATGATTTTGTATCTTCTGTGACATCACTCGCAGTGCACAAGTACCAGAACACTTTCAAGATTTAAGAATAACTCTTCCATTGTGTAATGTGTCAGTAATGCAGTGTTACCATATACCTGCATCTTGGAAACTATCTTTGGCACATCTTTATTTATGTCTCACGGCTTCGGAGTCCATTATGAAGATGGATGGCTGAAGATGATAACTCTGTGTTTAGTCTGAGGAACTTAATGTCCTTGTGAAGAAAACTGAGAACAGGCTACAGACAGGCCTGTTTCTTTATGCAGGGTGTTCAGGCCGAAGTCTAGTTTACTAACGTGCCGGCCTGTGTTCTTTACAAGGAAACAAGAGTTTTCTCACCACTTCAATCACATCTACTTGTTCTGACGCAGCAGAGTGACAGTGTGGTAGTTTATGACGCCATCTACAAGTCTGATAGATATGCCACTTTAATACAGACAATGCGGCAGCCTCACTAAATTGTTTCAGTGAAATTCATCAAATGAGCTCGAGAAAGTACAGGTGGTAGAGGTGTAAATTATAAATCAGCAAGCTAAGTGATTATATCATTGTTTAAATTCACTTCAGTACGTACAATAGTAAGTAAACTTAACTTTCATATGGCGCCGATTCTGTCTGTCTTCACTTCAGTTGTACGTTTGTGGTCAAAAATGTTCAGTTCAGGACAAAACTAGCCTTTAAGTGCTGCACATACAGTTAATAACTTAGCAGCTGACTATTTGTGACAGTTATTTATGACATTATGATTGTTTCTGTGGCTTTCACTGTCTTTTAATAAGCTTTTAACAAGAAACTGCCATGCTCGCTCCGTCACCAGTGATGAGCTCCTCTGCTGCTGATTCAGTCAGAGGTGATTTGGTGATTTAGTAAAGACAGTTCACTTTAAAGGTATCAAGTATTAAAGATTTGTTCATGCATATACTGTGCTCCTCTGCTGGGTAGCTTTGGTCTGCTGTCAACCATTTAACAACTTACCTCTTTTATATTTGTGGTATTTAGAGACCGCAGAGGATTTATTTCCTTTGCAGTACCACAGTTGGCCGCGGAAACAGATTAACCCATGTTTTGATTTGTCCAATCAGGGGACTGGACCTGGGGTTTCAAGGCTGTCAGTTACTGGGAACAACAAGGGAACCAGGAAGAGAACCTCACGCAGACCAGAGTGTCACCATCCTGCACGCCAAGGTCGCGCAGAAGTCCTACGGCAACGAGAAAAGGTTCGGTGATACTTCTGCCGAGCTTTAGCTGAATAAACGTGCAATAAAGTCAAAATACACTCATAGCTCAATGTCGAACCCCGCTGACTCTTCCACTCCTTACAAGAGTTAAGAGGGGAACAGTCGAGATTCATGATCTTTGGCTGATTTCCTGTAGTGAAGTTTTAGTTTTCGTGCCAAAGTGCTGTTTCAGAGCTGCTCAGAAAAAGCTTTTATTAAATATAAACACCACACAGATCATCTTCATGTGCATAATATTGTATTTAAGTCTGTACTGTTACATTACCCACAGGTTCTTCTGCCCGCCTCCTTGTGTTTACATCAGCGGTCATGGATGGAGAGTCATGCAGGACCATCTGAAAGGTAAAGAAACAAAAATTCTGTCAGTTTTAGAAATGCCTCATCTTCCTCTTTTTACCTTCCCCACCCCATGCTTTTTCCTTCCTTCCTCTGTTCCTCTCTTGCCCCCCCCCCCATTCATCCCTCCATTGTAATTAATTCTTCTCGTTTCGGCTCTCTTCCTGTCGTCTCCCTCCAGAGGCTGGCTATGGGGACTCTGTGTATCGGGTGTGTGGTTACATGTGTCTGGACAGCTCCAGTCAGTCTCAGGCAGACACATTCAAACTGCTCTTCGATTACCAGCCAAACTCCAGGGTGAGACAACTGTGTGTGGGATTTCTCTGATCCAATGCCATGTGCATACCTATCTGACTGCCTTTGTCGACACAGTCCCGTCTGTCAGTCAAATTCCTTCAGTGACAGAGACGCCAATTTTCGGGAAGTTTAAACTGGCCCTTGTCCTAGATAAATTATCCCCTAAATTCCTCTCCAAGCAGCCGGAGTTCTGCTGTATCCATAATCCTTCTTAGTCCTTGGCAGCGGATAAATCAGGTCAATATTTATATGGTAGTAGATTTGTAAAATTTATAATGTTCACACATTAGCAGTATAAACCAACATTAAATGTTTTACTGTAAAAACCAAATTAACTTTTTTTAAAGTTGCTCCCACTCTCTTCCCCCCCACTTCTGGTTGGTGTAAAGTCTTTTTTTGACACAAAGAAAATTCAGCATGTCAGTCATTCATTTGTAAACAGGTCCAATGGCCACAAAAGGGCAGAAATGAATCAGTCAGTGTGCTTCAAAAGTGTTCTTGTCAAAAAGTGTCTCCTGCACACCCTTCTGACAGGAGGCTGGGTCCGACAATTTTGGCAAACAATCCAACAATCAGACACACAATGTGAGAGAAAGAAAGCAGAATCTGAACTTCATGCTCTCTTTCTTAATATTCCACACATGTACTTTTTCATGTGTATAAACGAGTGCAAAACCATTAATTACTGTCTGAAAATGTGCTCTACGGTCCTCATTTAAACAATCCGTCATGTCTCGACTTCAAGCGTGGCCTCTCAGGACAGCTATGTTGTACAAGTGCATTTGCTTCAAGCGCCCTTTATGGCCTTCACCGATGCAACATTGTGTGATGATGTGCACATGGTGGAAGGCCACACAAAATTATGAAAAATGATCTGTAAAGCAACACACTTTCATCCAACGTGCAACAAACACACGTGAAAGACTTGGAGAAAGAGAGAATGGAGTCATTTCCACATTCCTCAGTCTGTGCAGGTTTGTTGGAAACTGTCTTTATGTGTGGATTGTCCTGTCCTTGTAGGGTTCAGCTAGTCTTCAGGCTTATCCCAAGCTTGCCACTGAAAAGACGTGAGTTTTTTTTTTGTGTGCAATCAGAGCAGTGTCAAAGATGAGTGAGTGATGGAATCCCGCACTGCTGCTGAACTCAGACCTCTACCTTGTTGCATCTGAGCGTGAGACAGCTCTGTGTGTTTTACCCAGACGAGACAATCACCTCTTTTATTACAGGCGACTGTTGACTTGACAAACAACAGAAAAACTACACTGCTGTAAACACTGTGTGTGTGTGTGTGTGTGTGTGTGTGTGTGTTCATTGGCCTCTTTTGTTATTTACCGGCTGAGGAAGAACACAAGCAACAGGGCTGTATAAGACATCTTTCAAATACAGAGAAGGGTGGAGTAAAAATCACCAGGACACTTGCTTTAATGAATCACAAACGTTCAGAGATTGCAAGATTTTTTAAACAACTTCATCTGCAAAATATTTGTGTCTCCATCTTCTGACACTTTAGTGCATCTGAACATGGATTAAATATTCTAAACATGCTTCATCTCCGCTCTGTGTTTTGAATAAAGTTTCAGTCCAGCTGTAGTTTTCCAGACACGTCCTGCTCTCTGTCACTCACACTCTCTCTCTGTCTTCCTACTCATCAGCTGTTTGCCTGTGCCAAGTCCCTGTTCATCTCTGATCAGGACAAGAGGAAGCATTTCTGCCTGCTGCTGCGACTCTTCTTGGGCAACAGACAGGAAGTGGGTTCCTTCCACAGCAGGATGATCAAGGTCATCTCCAAACCCTCCCAGAAGAGACAGTCCATGAAGAACGCCGACCGTGAGTCACATTGTTGTACATTTTACACATTTTTCCTCTTTTTCAAAAACCTAAACAGCAGTTTAGATTTCCTATTAAGTAGCTTTTCTTTCATCCTCTTGTGCTTCAAAGTAAAATGAGTAACAACTGAAGACGAGAACAAGATTTTAACCAACAGAGAGAGGACATTTGGGGAAGTGAGCACATTTTGGCCGGTCCTCACAACTTCAAAGGGTAGTTTGAAGGTTAAGACTAGGTTTTAAGGGTTATAATTAGTTTTAGGTTAGGGTCAGGATCGTAGTTGTGGTGGTTAACGTTAGGGTAAGGGTCCAGGGAATGCCTTTATGTAAATGACGGTCCTTACAAAGAAACAAGAATGTGTGTGTGTGAGTGCATGTCTCACAGGTTGCAAGTGACGCATCAAACCAATAAAATGCACATTCCTGCCGGGGGCTTAAGTCTGAGTCCCTGTTCTGTGTTGTACAGTGTTTCTTTATATGTGTGTGTGAATGTGGTGAATCTTTACAGCATCTCTCTGTTTGTTGTGTGTCTGTGTGTCTTCAGTGTGTATCTCCTCATGCTCCAGAGTAGCTTTGTTCAACCGTTTACGCTCACAGACGGTCAGCACTCGTTACCTCTCGGTGGACAGAGGAGCTTTCATAGCCAGCGCCAGACAGTGGACAGCCTTCACCATCACCCTGGGTAAGTGTACGGTGTGTGTGTGTTTACAGCTTCTTAGTCTTTACTTATTCCACACTGTGGATGGACAGTCTATCCATGACTTGAATGTTTGACTTTAAATAAAAAACAATCCAGGTATCTAATTTCCTGATTGACTCCACACTAAATCGTGTTTTTGTGCTTTACACATGGGTTTTTGTTGGCATATGGTGTTAATACATGTGATTTTCCAGCAATTGTGTGTAAAGAAAAGGCATTTTCTGCTCTAAATAAACTGTTTCTGCTTTCATTTAAAAGTTTAGTTCAGCCAAATTTGCCGAGTAGCTCTGATTACCAGCTTCACGTTTCTGTCCATGCTACGCTGAGCGGTGGTCACACTATGTAGCCACGAGGCCTCCTACAGTCGCAGCTCCTTACAATAATTTCTTATACACCTTGTGATACACTTGTGACCTGTGATGGATGGACCTCTTCTCTTCCAAGAAAATGTATAAATGGTGGATTAAGACAATTTCAGACAATTTTAGATTTCTTTAGATGGAGGCACTCTATGCCACAGCTGTGAACCTGATAGTTGATAATTCCTTCATATATCTGACATCTATTCATCTGTGTAACCAAAGTGATCAAGAGGGGTGGAGTCAACATCAGGAGTTCACAGAAACAGGGATGACCACTGGCATCAAATGTTTTAGTGACTCACTACATGGCTTCTCTCACCGCTCGGCCACCCTGCATAAATACAGTCACTGTGCGAGCAGTTATTCACCAGCGTTTCCCTCAAACAGGTCTGGAAAAGCCTGTCTAAAGATCTCTGAGGTTATTTATTTAATGTGCACGGACCTCCCAGCACCAAAACCTAAACGTCAGTCATTTATCCGCCTGCGCTCTGTCCTCTCTGGTATCACCACACACACACAGTCGTGTTCCCGTCACTTACCATAACTCTAACCACTACCTGCCTAAACTTAACCCTTACATTAAACCTCCTCTCTTCTTTAATCATTTACGTTTAAGGGGACTTGCATTTTGTCCCCATAAGGAAGGCGAATTGTGTAAACAGATTTATGTCCTAACATCATTAATATTACCAACTTACTAGTGTTGTAGTCAAGACCGGCCAAACCGAGACCAAGACCAGAATTTATCGAGACCGAGACAAGACCAAGACTTTTAGGGGCTGAGACCAAGTCAAGAGCGAGACTTAGTCAAGACCAAGACCAGTTCCCCACATTACATGACACACAATAAAAGGTGGAACGAGGTCCTAGGTACTTCTCAAAGTGATCTGAAAAGGATCCTCATTCCCATTAAAACGCCGACATACAAACATGGAAATCAACGTAAGCATCTTTATTCAACACTCCTTTTGCATGTTTACCATCGCCGGGAGGAGTGACAGTCGTTATGGTAACAACACTTTTTTAATTAGGGTTATTTGTTGCATTTGAAGCAATACGTTTTACTTCCAATCAAAGCCAGAGTCCTCAATGTCAATGAGTCCGAGACAAAACCAAGACCATCAAAAAGTGGTCTAAAGACCAGTCTCAAGACAAAGACCAGTATTGAGTACTACAACACTACCGTTTACACACACACAGTCTCTATTTGTCTTTATTCATCTGATGGTAGAAAAGTTAGTCATATTAAAAGCATAAAATGATTTAAGAAGATTGTAATGATTTAAAATACAGAGATCTAAACTACAAAGTGTGTGTAAGTGTGTGTGTGTGTGTGTGTGTGTGTGTGTGTGTGTGTGTGTTGCATTGGGAGTTTGTAAATTTATGTAGATGAATATTCATGTGTAGTTGTGTGTGTGTGTGTGTGTGTGTGTGTAGTGGAGGACCACCGTGCTGACCAAGGGGACTTTGTGCTGAGCGAAGGCTTCATCTGTTACGGCTGTGTGGTCCAGTTAGTGTGCACCGAGTCTGGAGTAGCTCTGCCGCCCATGGTAACACACACACACACACACACGTTATACACACGATTCATTCCCTTAATCATCAAAACTACATGGCTCTGTGATTGGCCTTACCTCTGAGTTGTTGGAGGTCATCTTAGAGAAGAGAAAAGTGCCAAACTAAAGCATGTCATGGATCTTGTATACCTCCCACTCCACAGTGTCCTTAGGACACGTAGCAGTTCCTTTAATGGCCAACTGAAGATGCCCCAGTGGTCTACTGAACAGCTCAGACGGTCTTTTATCCCAACAGCAATTAGATTTCTTTATAAATATATCTGATTTTTGATATATGGTCATATTTGTAGCACTCTCCCAGCTCTAATCAAGATTCAGAAGGCTTTTAATGGATGCATCATTTCTGACAGTCTGTCAGTCCACCACTTCCAGACTGAAATATATCAACAACTGTTAGATGGACCGCTTTGGTGTCGCCTTTCACAACATTGCATCATTTTAAGATAATATAACCAACATATGATTACAGATCTTACTATTGTGCCACACAACCTAAACTCCAACATAGTCGCTCAGGTTTTTAATCCTGAGGTCTTCCAATCAACAGCTGTTAAAAAAAAAGATTGATATGATTGAATGTGTCTTTTATTTTGGATTTATGTGCAAGACAAAGTTAATAATCTGTCTGACTACTGAAATAAAAAAGATCCTGAAAAGTTCAGCAGTGATTAACTCAAGCTGAATAACTGAATCTCCCTCGCAGCTCAGCTCAGGAAATTAAAACAATAACAATAAGGGATTTAGAAAAGCCTGCTAATTTACTGAGAATATGTGTTTTACTCCCCGTGTCTCTAAGAATACACCCTGATAAATTAGCCTTGAGCAAGACACAAAATTCCCACCACCTCAAAGGTTTCTGTTATTCAGCAAAGGATTACCAGAGTTGGGTTTTCGTCCTTTTTGAAGAAAAATCCTGTGATCACCCAGAAGAAAATGTATCTCTCTTAACTTAATTTGCGTGTGTGGCGCAGCACTGATGCAGGGAAAGTTGATCTTTCCTGTCAAGAAGTAATAAAAGTAGTGGTGACCTTGCAACACTTTCATCCAGAACAATCCCTTCATGACTGCGTGTTTAAATCTCGGGTGTAACTTAAGGTAAGCTCACCGCTCTGTCCTGTTTGTATTACAGATGTGCGTCTGTGCCATGGTCTGTGCAGGTGTTACATAACCTGCTAATCCCAAAAATGCTGATATTGTTGAGCCCGTCCTCCAGTTTAAAATATATTTAGACAAACCTCTTCGCAGAATCCTTCACAATTTGCTGAGCACTCTTTCTCCGAACCTCCTCAACTGCTGTCATAACAACCTCAGCAGCTTCCCGGTGGTAGATGGTTAAGGTATATCTACACACTACACATCTATATGTTTATGTAGTTGAGGCCTTTTGCTGCATAGTTTGTTTGAAGATAGAGAAACCTCCTGCCTTCCTGCTGAGTCGTTTGCGTGAGTAGCTTGGCTCCGTTGTTTGGTTGTGGTCGGCGTTCAGGCGCTGAAGAGGCGAAGGTAGATGTACAGACCAAAAAGTTCAGCAGCATCAGCAGCTGTGGAAAGGCTTAAATATGAGAACAAAGAGTTTTAATATTCTGTGTGCGGTGCAGTAAAGGGTGTGTTTGAATGTGTTAATGTTTAGGATTGGGGCTCAAGGCCTGCAGAAGTAGTTCACTGTGGAACCTCCAGTGATGCTCAGACCACCAGAGTACTTCATTAAAATCCCATCTCTGAACCGCTCGCTAGCTTTGTCAGCTTACAGGCAGCTGTGTTGTTTGATTTAAAGCATTTAGCTTTCTCAGTACTGTACATTTATAAGACCCTTTGTTATTTTATGCAGCCAACATCTGTATCTTTTGACATGACTGTTGATCATAAACAACCTCTCTTCCTCTTTATCTAATGTGTGCAGCTTTGTTCACACAGAGAGCTGCAAGATTACACTCAATTAAAGGCATAGTTTCTTAGTTTTTAAAGCTTTGTTATTGCCATCAAGAGGCCCAGGAGTTATGTTATAGTAAGGATACAGTACGATCTGTCAGTCAAACTCACACAAGAATCTATTAAGTATGTACAAACCTGGAAGTAAGAAGCTCCCCTCTTGATCTGGAATCAGTTTTGTGGCAATAGTTTTTCTTATAAAGCAAATGATATACCATATAACTGCAGTATCCCCCAGGTTTGCTTCCTGTCAGGGACCTTTGTTGCTTGTCATACTCCCGTCTCTCTCCCCATGTTTCGTGTTTGCCTTTATTGTAGCAGCTGTCTAATAAAAGGAGCCCAAACATCCCTCTAATAGCAGATGATGTCCCCTGACTTTTCCTGTAGTGCCACCAGCAGGACATTTAAATTTGTCTACTTTGTTTAATGACCAAATACCTGCAAGACTTATATTTCCATCAGCCTCAGCTGTACTTAGCAAATAAAAGCATGCTAACACATCCAGCTGGGATGGTGAACGTGGTAACAGCGCACCTTTGTTGTCGTTGTGAGCGTGTTAGCGTGCAGAGGTTTGCATTTTCTCACAGCACCATCACGTGCAGCCTCACAGAGCTGCTAGCATGGTTGTAGACTCTCAGTCTTGTCAAGATGAATTTATGTTTCAGGAGAAACTGAAATACATGTCTGAAATCTAAGAGCTCCCCTCGATAATCCCGATACAATAACAGAACATTTCACCTGGATTGTTCAAAGGAAATTATATTTGGAGATCTCAAAATGGTTTTGAAGAAGCTTATAGATTTTGCTTCTCCATCATCTTGTTCACGTCTACAGGTTATCCGTAAGGTTAACAAGCAGCACGCCATCTTAGACGTGGACGAGCCGGTTTCTCAGCTCCACAAGTGTGCCTTCCAGTTCAAAGACAGTCCACATGCATACCTGTGTTTATCCAATGACACCATCATACAGCACCAGGTGAGACTCCCTCTCTCTCTCTCCCTCTTTCTGTCCTTTCCTTTTCATTCTGTTGCAGTTTCTATCTCCACTCTGTCCTTCTCTGTCGTCCCTCTCCTAATGCATCCCTGCTGAAACTAAGCCCCTCCTCCCTCTCTCACTCTTTCTTCCTCTGCCCCTCCTTTCAAACGTCTCCTCCATCCTCTCCTACCTTCCAGGCCCCGTCCTGTGTCAAAGACCCCAGCAGAGTGGTGCTGAACGACGGAGCCTGCTGGACCATCATCGGAGTGGAAGCAGTGGAGTTCACTTTTAATCAGGGTGTGGCCTGCATCCAGACACCAGTCACTCCTTTTCCTGTTATCACTGGGTTAGAGGTGAGCTGGAGTAGCAGACGGGTACTAAGACAGACCTACATACAGGGACTCACAGACGCTCTCTCTGTGGTTCTTGTATCTGTTGTAAATCAAAGTGGGAGGAACAGATGCTGCTAACTGGGAATTCACATCAAATACATGAGTGATGACATTAAATTCACTGAGAGATTGATTCACTGCAACACTGGGGACACTGATTTATCATTACAGATAAAAGGTAATAAATTCAGAATATAAAGAGCAGGAGGTTTGTGTGATTTAAATAGCTGCTTGTGGAGAGTACGCTTCACTTGTATTTTCTAATGATTTCAGTATAACTCACTTGACATACAGTAGATAATCCATCATCCACCATCATTATTCATCATTAGGTGGCAATTTGATGTGGTAAAGTGAGCAGTGTGGCTACAGAACATGTGTGCGTGTTTCTGCAGGTGAATGGTGGAGGACATGTTGCCATGTTGGAGATCCAAGGAGAAAACTTCAGCCCTCATCTCAAAGTCTGGTTTGGCAACAGCGAGGCAGAGACCATGTTCAAGTGAGTGATCAGGAGAGAGAAAGACAGCGTGTGAGAGGAGATTTATTAAGGTCAACAGATGGTAAAAGTGTGAGCAGGTAAGATGGAGAGAGTCGAAAAGAAGCGAAGAGAGGTCGGACCAGCAAAGAGGACATTAAGAGGCTGGTGAAGGGATGAAGAGGAGAAGAGACTGGAGATTTTAATTCACTTCAAAGCATTTGGCATTTTCAGAACTACTGTATCTGGAGCTAACAGAGCTTTTAGTTGACGCACAGCAATAAACCTTTGGAAGCCAAGAACAGACATAAAGCTCCTCAAGTATCAAATTGAATTGATGTGTCTGTGTTAGGTTTTTTAAACTTCTTCTAAAGAAATTGACCCAGAAACCAAAAAGGAGACAGATCTATTAACAAGCACTATATAGTACAATTTCACCTGCAGACACTCCACTGACCAACAATTGTCATTATACTTTTATTGGCCTGCTGCTCTGTTTGCCTGGTTGCCTTTTATGAGCTGGTGAAAAGCTGGGCGGCAACGTGGGGAAAATACTTTTATTTAAACATCTCGTTCACATATTGCAATATCTTTTCATGAACAAAAAACAGTGAAGACTGGTGAAACATTATGTGCATTATTTTTTGTTTGAGTTCAAAGTCAGTCTCATTTGTTCTTTACATTTAAAAATTGACCCTCGGTCAACTTTTTTAGATATGTCAGGTGTTCGCATGAGTGGCTTCTGTTTTTAGGTGGATTTTTGCTTCAACTATCAACTTGAGAAGCTGTATTTTTAATTTATGACTGTTTCGTGCCATTCGCTCTCATGCTGCTTTACCACAGAAGCACCAGGTGCAGAGGTGAGCTGCACAAAGGGCAAATTAAAGTTCTAGTCTGCTCAGGTCTGTGAAGATGGCTGCACATAAAAGGTGGCCTAAGTAAGAATGTTGTTTTATGAAGCATTAAGTGGCACGTTCACCCCAAATATTACGTAACCAAGCAGTTTAACCCAAATTATATTTCATTTGACTCAGAATTTGAAAGCAGTTATTTAGCTCTTTGTTGCGGAATTTCGATAAGCACAACAGACTTGCAGCGATGCCTGTCTTAATGATAACTGTGGTATGTTTTAGGAAAAGATATTTTTTGTTATATAACTCACCTGCATAAATCAGTAAATATGCAGCAAAAACAATAAAAAATCTAGCAACATGTCAAAATGTTGTCCCTGTCGGGAAACTTTGCTTGGACTGCTGAACAACAATAATACATGTATTTACACATTTTATCCAAAAGCAGCCCGTCATTATTAAAACACAAAAAGTGCTGCCATCTGATCCACTCATTCACAATAATAAACACCTTTAACGCAATCATTCGTAACTCACCACAAAAATTTGAAATGGCAAAACAGCTAGCCTGGCTCTGTCCAGTGGTGACAAAATCTACCTGCCAGCAGCTATAAAGTTCACTAATTAATCTGTTATATCGTCTTCTGTTTGTTTTTCTCATATCTTGTTCTACAAAAACTAAAATGCGAAAAGGCTTGCTTCCCCCCCTGTTTCCAGTCTTTAAGCTAAGCTAAGCTAACAGGAGTTTTGCTCTAGCTTCAACAAAGCAAAAAATGTTAAAACATTCCTTTCAATACTCTGGGTCGGCACTAATGATTCTTTTCATTATCAGTTAATCTGCTGTTTGTTTTCTTAATGAGACAATTAATCACTTGATCTATAAAATACCAGAAAATAGTGAAAGATGTCTATCCCAGTATCCAGAGTTCAGGGTGACACCTTCAAATGTTTTGTTTTGTCCACCCAACAGTCCAAAACCCTGAAGTATTCAGTTTACACAATATACAACAAAGGACGTCCTCAAATTGAATAAAGGATTGTCAAAATAGCTGCTGATGAATTTTCAGTCGAACCGTCTAGCCGATCAATCAACTAATTGTTTCAGTGCCTTTATTCAGTTTCACTTTTTTATTCTGCTTGAAAGAGTTTTGTTGTGGCTTCGTTTAGGAAAAGTGTCTCCTCATTTGTTCAGGACAAAATTCTGAACTTCATTTGAGAAACATGGCGGAGAGTTTCCTCTACAAGTTTGACAAAAAATGTTCCCGACAGTCATGACATTCAATTTCTGAACTCTGCTATTTACCTGTATTCATTCGTTTTGAGAGACCAAGCCAAGACTGGACCTGAGAAGCACAGAGGGGCTTATGTTATATTCAAATATGACTTGGAGGAATTCAGCTTGGCTTCCAGGGAACAATCCTCTCTCTAACTCTTGCGTGGGAGTCTGTAAGTTACAGAAGGGCGAAGCAGAAACTCGACATTCAGGCTTCCCCTCACAGAATCTCATATGACGCATCCCGAAGCAAAACAACCTCTCTGACGTCAGAATCCACCTCAGACCCCACACCTAAAGTGCTGAGGCATCATCGTAAGCCAGAAGCTCGCCACGAGCTTCTGCAAATATTCCTCCCATCACCAGCAGCTCGGCAGGGTAGAGGAAAGCCTTATTTATATAACAGTCATCCACAATGTGCTGTTTGTGCGAGAAGCTGCTGCCAATTAGGAACATGATCCCTCGTGCCACGCAGGCCAGAGGTGTAGAATAGGTCTGAATAAAATACCTTTTATAAAAGGGCATTCAGGTTTGCTGCTGCTCCCTAATACTTCACATCAACCACAGAATTGTGTTTAGTCTCTGACATAATCGCATTATTATCGACCTCCACAGTTCATTTTTCAGTCATTTTTGTTGCTCTTCAGAAAAGTCTCAGACAAGCCAAAAAAAGTGCAGATTATTGAAAATAATCCTCTTTTGATTTTTTCTTTCTCTTTTTTTTTTCTCCTTTATATATACGTTGTTAAACATATCGTCTATTTGGTTTAGTTTATAGCAGAATGTATGTGTACAGTATAAATTAAGTTTAACTGCTTTTTTTCTCTATTTGGAGCATTTTAAATGTACCATTTTTTGCTTTCTGCCTCAAGGTTCAATCTTTTTTAATTAAAAGTTGACATGGTGGTGGATTATGTTAGCAAACAGTTGCCTGTTCACACATCCAGCAGACACACAGAGAACATCAGCATTCATTTAGAGACATGTTTCTGGCCACCTGGCAAGTCCTACATTTTTATCTCCTGTTTGGTCTCCACCAGCTACTGAGAAAAAAACAGCTAGTTGCTAACTTAGTCTGTCTAGTGTTTGGTGTTGGGCAGGTACATACTAGGCTTGGGCAGTATCACAGTATTGCAGTATACCAGGGTATTTAGAAATCTCAACGGTATGACTTTCAATATGTCACAAATTTAGGAGTTTTTTGGGTTTAGTCCCGATGATAAAGATGAGCCAGCTAACAGGATGAAGCTGTGTGCACCTAATCTCTATTTAGCCCACTGATGTGTCAGTATCTGCTGCAGTGTTATGTGAGGTCAGAAGGGCGCTTATTCCCTGTCTATTCCCTGTATTACTAGTTACTGTCATTCCAGAGTAGGTTAATTAGTTATATTACTTTATTACTGCCACTGAATTGTAATGCTTTACATTACTTTTGCGTTACTCTTGTGTTACTTTCACTGCTATTTAATGGGCGCATTATTCTGAGTTCTACTAATGTGCTTGAGTGTGAGTTAAATCCGTGGATTGGGTGGGTCTTTGTTAACCTTCTGATTAATAGCGGGGGGGATTTTACGCCTGATTCATCAGGGGAGCTACCATAATGTTAAGAGGAGCCAAGCTCCCCCGTAGTTTTCACCCTGCCTGCAATCTCGACCGTCGGATTACCGCAACAGGAAATAAAGTTACTCGTTTACTCATGGAGTAAGCAAGACTTGTCTAAGTCTAACAACATATTAGACACACGGCACTGTAGGCTAGATGTCATACCTGCTACAGTGACTTCTATCACAAGCAGATCAGCTTTTCCTGTTTGGTTTTAACACAAATACCCTCATATACTGTACACACCACAGTGAAATGTCAGGAAAGTATGAAAAAATAGATACTACAGAAGCCTAGTACAGCTGCCTGCTGCTGGAAACAACACAGATGAAAGTGCTGAGACTGAACCAGGACAGCAAAGAAACCAAAACATTGAGCTAAAAGACACCATAACTGGGGAACTGCATAGTCAGGTGGTAATTCTGTGTGGGTGTGTCAGTATTAACAGTCCTTTTCACATAGAAGTAGTCTTGTGATCTATTGTTAATATAAAATATTAATTAAATAAATCTTTACTTTCTTTTCCTTGACTTTGTCCTCAGATCTCCCAAATCTCTGCTCTGCGTCGTTCCTGACATCTCTGTGTTCAGCGACGGCTGGCGCTGTCTGCGACGCGTCATCACCGTCCCTCTGTCTCTCATCCGATTGGACGGCCTGATTTATCGCACGTCCTTCAGTTTCACCTACACCCCTGAGCTCCAGCCGCTGGCGCCTGTCCGAGGAGCTGCGGGAGGAGAGAAGAGAGAGGGAGGGATGGAGGATGGCCAGGAGGACGACGTCCTGTTAGAGACCATCCATCAGGAGTTCACCAGAGCCAATTTCCACCTCTTCATGCAGAGTTAGCGCACCTGTCCTCAGGTGAATGTTTGGAGTCTGATTATCAGGTCGAGCAAAGAACTGATTTTTGGTTTTTGATCAATGCTGGTTCAGTGTCAATGAACCATGTGCAAATGTTCTGACCCTTCCTGGACCGCAGTATTCCCTCTTTGTTAATCTTTGATCATGTTTAATGGACCTGAATATTTCATAGATATGCTGGAAAGATTTAACTGTCAACCAGATCATTTTAAGATGTCATGCAAAGTAAATTATGAACAAAAAAACACTGATTTGTCGTCCATAGTAATCAAGGCCATCGTATCAGTTCCACCAAATTATTCAGACTGAGAAAATGTGACATTCAGAGTTTGAATGCCAGCAAGAAGTGACCGACTCTGCAGACTAGTCAGTCAAACAAGACTCAGTCAATCAGTCAGTCCTCCACGTATGGAGTACATTTATGGAAACAATGGTGCTCGACTTTTTATTATTATTATTTTCTAATGTTTTTTATTAGATAGAATTGAGAGATGACAGTGATGGGAGAGAGATGCAAACAAAATTCCCCAGCTGGACTTGATCCAGTAATGTAGCGTGCTTTTGGGAGAAATGACATTAACACCAGGACTATATTCTACGCCACCGTATCAAAGTCGCCTTTTACATCCAGCTGTTAACTATATTGACACAAGTGTTGCCGGTGAATGTAAATTAAATAAATTAGGTGCATATGACTGTATATTTTAGGAAACAGGGTTTCATGCTTGTGCATCACATCTTCCTTTGTACAACACTTTGTATAACAGAGATTTTATAAATTTGTAAACAAAATCAGCTAATGAAAATATGAGCACAATTGGAAAGCAAGAAACTGTGATTGTTCTAAAGAAACACTTCAACAGTCCACATATCTGAATAAAAACTAAAAAATCACACTTGAGGAATTCATACAGAATGGTAGCTGCAGCATCCCTCACGTTTCTCTATTTTTAAAGATAATGTAGATTGTTTTCCATCAGCAGAGTTGGATTCAAGTCCCAGTGATGCAGATCATCTGCCTTTCTTAAGTGCATTTGAGCCGGACACTGACTCCTCACTACGTCTAGAGATGCTGCTCTGACCTTTGACATCTGTCAAGGCAGGCAAGCAAAAAGAGATTTTGCTCTAGAGAGCTATGAAGTAATAAGTAATATATTATCTGCTGCCATCAATAGAAAAATGTTTAAATGTAGTATACTTTACAGTTCAGAAGTACAGCAAAGAGTGGAAAATTAACTGTGAACGCCTCTGAGCAGCGTGACCGAGTGGATGCAGTGAGTGGGAGGATGTTTTTTCTGGAGAAGGACACGCAAGCTGAAGGCTGAGTGTTGTGAGAGAAAGCAGCAGTGAAACACTGTCTGCTTCCCTTTTGATGCTTTGAGAGACTTTCAACTCAGTACAGAAGCGTAATATGAGTGTGATTCGTCTGTGTGTGTGTGTGTGTGTGTGTGTGTGTGTGTGTGTGTGTAACTGTAATAATTCACGTGGGTTGTAGCTGTGAAACAGCAGCACTCCCAACTCCCAGAGGATCTTTCTTAATGTTTTCAAATACTTTACCAGCAGAGCTTTGGTGAGTGATGTAAGAGACTCTATACATCCAATTAAGGCAAAATGAGAAAAACTTATAAAAACAATTTAAACATGAGAAAATAAATTATGAAATGAGAGAGCAAGAAGTGAGAAAAGCAATGCACATTTAAAAAAATAAAAATAAAAGAGGCTACGCCGTTGTTTAAAATTTCAAATATCATGTTTCTCATCATAGTTCTTACATTAACCGAAGTTTAAGTTTCAAATAAGTATCACACAGAAATACTTTAGGGAATTTTGTACACTCATAAACTCTGCCAGTGTAAACTCGTCCTAAAGAGCACCAATCTTCTGGTAATTTTCTCTTAGGTACAAACTAAGCGTACTTGTTGAACAAGGAAAAAAAATACTTGTTGAATGAATTATAACACTTTAAAATGCATGAATTCTAAACATGATAGCAAAATCCACCAAAATGAAATATATAACAAAGATAAACTTGATGCAAAATACAGTAAATGTTGTGTTCATCTTATCATCAACGCCTGTCAATGGACTGAGAGGCTACATTTAAGTAGTTTCTATAAAGTTGTTTCGCTCTGAGAGACGCCTCAGGGCCTTTCTGCATTGACCGTAACTGTGTTTCCATCAACATGTTTTACGCTCATTTTGAAGTATCACATTAGAAAAGGTTGATGAAAAAATCCTTAATTTCACAAAAATATTTTTACGCTCGCTTGAGGTGGTTTTTGCCTTTGTCGAAAAACAGTTAATGCTTTAAATGGGAGATGGAAACACTTTTCCCAAATAAGTTCAGACATAGTGAACTTGTAACTCACGTCTGATCAGCTGTTTCCGCTGTCGGCATCTTGCCGGATATTCCCATATCGTGTGCAGACATGGCTGGCAGCAGTTTGCCCGCTTAAAACACATTCCTGAGGATCTCTCTCCATTTTTCTCAGATCAGTAGCCCTCAGGTCCATGCGTCTGGTTTTGTTTCTGGTTTGGAACCTTCCTACTTCTTGTTTATTACAGCCATGTGTAACTTGTGTAACAACTGCTGACATAACTACTCTTGCTGTAGCCTGGTTAATTCGCTCCAGACCAGCTAATGGAAACGCTCATATTTCGCATTTACTTTTATTCTTTTTTGCGAAATTTCAAAAGTCTGCTTAAAATTCGAATGACAATTACATGCAAACATGGCTAGTGTGACATGACCTACTGTACATACAACTGTACAACAATAACATTGTTAGCAGCTGTAATATTAATGTACTCAAAAACAAGTGATATTACATTACATCACACTACATTTATTCTGACTTCAAGCTCAACGCTGTGAAATTCTTCTTTTTCTCTTAACTAACATTTTTGTGAATTAAACTACAGAGGAGAACAGGTAGCCTTATATATGGCAATTTAGGTGTGTTGGTTATGCTAACGATGAAATCTCACAAGACTGCACTTCACCTCATGAACCGGCTAAAATAGCCTTTCATGAGGCCTAATATATTTCATCAGGATACCAGTACAGCTTTGCTACAGCTTTGCTTTGTGTTCCCAAGAAATCATGTGGAAGAAAATAATATTTTCAGGAATAATGGGGTTCATTGAGTTGCATGCGATCTTGTACTGGACTTCACATTTGGTAAACAGTTGCTGTAGAACCCAGTGGTGACAGAAATCCTTAGGATCACGTCCAAAACATCCACGCCTGCCTCACATTTTGTCCCTTTGTCCCCTTTAAAGCTCTCATCCTTAGTATGTTAATCCAATTAATTAAACTGTCTGGAAGCAGCGAAACTGAACAAACCAACAAAGCCGATACCAGCCGTCTCTGTTCTACACTTTGTTCAGTGTGTTTGATCTTTAGAAGTTAAGTTATGAGTTATTATGTTTGTGGTGACAAGCACAACTGAAAAGCTCTTTTGTTCCAACCAAGTGAAGCAGGAGATAATCACACAAGCATGACAGGACCTCCCACACGGCCGCATCGCTCTATAGTAAACCCAAATTTCATACTCTCTTCATCCCTCGCATACTTCTCATTCTTAACATGGTCACTTTTCATCAGCCCAGGATGTGAGGAAGTTCTTTCTTTGTTTCAAAGTGGCGACAAGTCCGAGAAAAAAGTCTTCTGATTTAATATTTGTCTGTGCGTTACTGAGACAGATCTCAATTTGATTTCTGCAGACTGAGGGCTCACTACACCTGCCCTGCAGAACAGCAGGCAGATATTAATTTTTGACCTGAGATGAACTCAACAACAAGACTCTGTGTGTGTGTGTGTGTGTGTGTGTGTGTGTGTGCGCTTCACACAATGTGCTTGTCAGATGACCAAACAACATCTGAAGCTCATCCCTCTCTTTGATGGAAGGCTTTTCACTCCAGCTCAGACTGACTTTGTTAGATATGTGTTACTGAAAAAGAGAAGACAACTTAAAACTAAGCCTTATATCACAGTAGTTATGATGTGACTGCTTAAAACAGAAGTATAAATCCAGTTTAAGATTATGTTTGAGTCCTGGAAAGATGATCATTTACACTCTTTTAACATCGGGCTAGAATATGTCTGAAGCCACCTCAGTGTTTTGAACGAAGCACCTCAGCTGCCCAAAACTCTTACTTTATTATTTTAATGATAATACTGCAAAAACAAAAACAAAACAAGTCCATTCTGGGTCTGCGCCCAAACTTTAAGCATCAGTGCCTAACTGTTTGGTAACAGATACAGTAGCTTGTCCCTCCAGCAGCCGTGAGGCCTTCACCTTCCCTCCACACCTCACGTGTCTTAATATTCTGAGGGAAACCGAATGGCATGTGTCTCTCTTCCTGCGCTGTCTCTCCCTTCCTCTCCTCCTCTTCCTCATCATTAGCAAGACAAACATGTGTGTGAGAGAGGAGGAAGGAGACGGGTAGAAACACAAGACCGTTCGGTCTCCGGGCTCCTAATCTCTGTCATGTGGGAGAAACTTCAAACTGAGAGATTCACGTGCCCAAAACACTGACGCCCGCCTCGTTTTCCCTCCGTCCTTCCATCCCTCCTGATGAATGAGAAGCCTTATGAAAGGGCCCATTCTTAGGTTCTCATCTACAGGAACACACCTTCAATCCTTATTCAAACTCCCTGCTCTCTCTCACATAAAGAAAAAGAGTTCAATGACTTTAAATCATCTTTAGCATGAGGGGATTGTTGAAATATAGCCTTTCTGTCTGCTTCATAATGTTTAAACACATCAGGTGTTTTGTACTTGATGGCGAGATTAAAATCTATACTTTTGTCACCGTTTGATTAAATGTGTTAGGATTTATCGCAGGTCATAAAACATGGTAAAAGACATAACTGTAGCCGTTGTTAAGTAGTTCACCCAGCACAAAGAAAGTTCTCTCTCTTCCTGGTGGTCTTCCCGCTGCACAAACTCATTAGTGTCTCCTTACAGAGCAGTTTAGTTAGCTCTTAACAAATGACCCACTTTACTGTAACTCTAGTGACGCGTGCACAACTGAAGAAAACAAGCCTAAAAAGCCTAAAAATACGCTTCAGTTTACAGCTACATATGCAACACAAGAGTAAAACATAAAAAATAATAAAAAAAATAGCCTGTCCTCTCCAGAAAAAAAGTCTGTAGCCTGTAGGTTGATCATCATTTAGCTTATTATGACCCATATTTACGTTTGTTGTTAGACCACGACCTTTACTGGCCGAAGTGGTCAGGTGATGTGATACAAGAGCGACAAAGTCTGTCTAAGGAGGCGGTGGGTTGGATTGATGAGTGAAGTAAACTTGAGACTTTCACTCAGGAGAACGACGTTTGACTCCTGTGTGAAAGAAAG